CAACAACCCCTTCTGGGTTTGAATCCATTCCCTTTTCGATTGAAACCGATACATCAAGTACCCTCTAATCCACTCCAACATAGTAATTAATGGCTTATCCCTAGCATCACCAATGTTGTCATTCTAAGTCTCACAAAGGTTGTTAACAAGAAAATCACATCTTGAATTATCATTAAACCTAGACCTTGACCATAACCTAGCTGGCACCTTTGACAGCCACTAATGGGCTTCCTTATCAATCTGACTTATGAGATGCATGTGATGTTTAAATGTATCTTCAGTTAAAGCACGTGCTGCATTCCACATCTCATCCCTCAACTTCGCACCCTTAAACTTCTTCTTAAAATTCTCATACATATGCTTCACACAAAATCTGTGGTAAGTGCCATGCAACTTGTCTTTAAAGATTTCAACTAAACCCTGTTAACCAACAATAAAGAAAATATTAATATAAAAAGTTCATAAATGTAAAATAAATGACATAAAATAAATTATTTAAACATTTTTACCTTTTGTCTGTCGGATATAAATGTAAATCTGTTTAGAGGACCCAAAGCACTTTCTAGTTGGTTTAAAAACCATTCCCATGATTGTTTTGTTTCAGACCTAACCACACCTATGGCTATAGGAAATATTTCATTGTCTCCATCCTTGCCAATTGCACTTAACAACTGCTCTTTGTAAGGACCCTTCAAGAAGCAACCATCCAATCCAATGAATGGCCTACATCCTTCCAAGAAACCTCTCTTTATTGCTTCAAAGCAAACAAATAGCTCTTCAAATCTGGCAGGGTCATCAAGTGTTGGTCTATCAACAGTAGTCACTGCAATACTACCAGGATTGGTGGTCTGAATGAACTGGCAGTAATCTCTAACCCTTGAGAATTGTAGTCCATGGTCACCATCAGTGTGTAATCTAGCCTTCTTTCTTGCCCTATAAACCTTGTATTTGGAAACATTAACATCCAAATTACTTAAAACTGCCTTCTTCATTGCAGATGGTTTCCATGTGGGTTCATCCCTAATTGTGTCCATGTATTTGGCTACCAAATAACTGGCTGATGTTTGACTATTAAGCTTGTTGTAACTGCAAGTATGTTTTGAGTTAAAAGTCTTTATTTGGAAGCTGCCATCATTGTCTGTTCAATCAAGCAAACCAAAACACATAAGTCATGGTGAATAAAAAATTCAACAAATAATAATCCCTAACCAATAAAGTAACAATATGCACAAACCCTAATCACAAAAAATAGAAAATTAATCAAATGAGAATCCCTAAGCACAAAAAATAAAAATTTAAGCAAATAAAAATACACAAGCAATAAAAAAATAATTTGCACAAACTCTAAGCACAAAATAAAAATTAATAAAAAAAATTAATAATAATCAAATGACAATCCCTAAGCACAAAAAATAAAAAATTAAGTAAATAACAATATCTAAGCAATAAAATAACAATTTATACAAACCCCAAGCACAAAAAATGAAATAATAATTAAATGAAAATCCCTAAGCACAGGAAATAAAAAATTAAGCAAATAACAATCCCTAAGCAATAAAATAACAATATACATAAACCCTAAGTACAAAAAATAAAAAAAATAATCAAAAGACAATCCCTAAGCACAAAAAATAAAAAAATTAAGCAAATAACAATACATATATCTAAGCAATAAAATAACAAAATGCATAAACCCTAATGGAATAATGGAGCATTTTTTTTTTTCACTGTTATTAAATATGCAGTAATGGAACATATGAAGATAAATGTAGTAATGATCACATGGAAACAAATTGACATCAAACACAAGTCATGGACCACAAGACATCAAACATTTCCCACAAGACATCAGTCTAAAAATGATATAAGAAACAAACTGACATCAGACACAAGACATGGACCATTGTGTATCACTATACGAAGACATAGAAGTAAAAAAAAAAAAGAAGAAGACATGGACCACTGTCATTGACTATAAACTCTATTGTCAGTGGGGTCTATCTTCTTTAATCAACATAAAGCTTACACCAAACATTTCCCAAGTTCTAAAAAATTGCATGCATGTGTATTATATATACAAAAAAGAGAATTTTATACTAGGTCAAAACAGATTTTCAAAAACCCTAGAAATCAAATATTCGATTAGTACTAATTAACCCAAAAATATAACCATTAACATACAAAATGAAAAATAAGATTCATTTAAAATCGACATAAAGACATAGAACAGAATCTAAACTTACAAATTTGGAGAACTTGTAAAATCGAATCAAAGTTCGTGAAAATGACAGACCCAACAGGAAATACCACACGATGTAACGCATAATTGAAGAGAACAACAACACGATGTCGCGCACAATTGAACAGAACAAGAATACGATCAAAGTCTTCCACCCACAGTATGAAACTCTAAGGGCGTATCTGCGCCTCCATTGCTCTCTAACTCTTTGTGTGTGTCTCTCTCTAACATAATCAACTGAATGAGATTTTAGGGCAACTTAATTTAGTAGGGTAAAATTGGCATTTCACAATTAGTTTTTTTTTATATTTTTTTTTTATATAATTTAGTAAGTAAGGTCATTTCGGTCATTTCAAATCAACAGTTGCCGGAAAGCTGATCCGGTGACTTCCAGGGAGGTATTTGCACACTTTGCCTAGTTAAGGGGGGTATTTGCCAAAAATTGGATAGTTCAGAAGGTTTTTTGCACTTGCGCCAAGTAATTAAATCCATTTGATGGGTGGGACAAACATGGTGGGCACAATTCTTCTTCTTTTTTTTTTTGACAAGAGAAGCCAAAAGAACATTACATGAACAACCATCAACAGGGCAATCAAACATAACACCACAAAATAAGAACAGCGCAGACTTAAAAACTCAAAATATAGCAGGTTTTTTTCTTAAAATATGTGATCTCAAAAGTTTTCTTATATATAGCAAGTTGCCATGTGTTGAGATGCTGAGACTTTCTTTTATTTTTGTGCAGACATGGGATGAATTTCAATTGAGAAAGAAAATTTTAACTTTTTCTTAAGGAATTTAAAGAGTAAAAGAGAAAATAAAGGGATAATTTTAGAAAGGATAAAATTTAGGGGGGCACTGTATAAATTTTTTCATATATATAGAAAAAATATAAAAAATTACTACATATATTATAGAGGGCAGCCAGGGGGCACGTGCCCCTCCTGCCCTTTATTGGCTCCGTCCCTGGTGGAAAGTCAATAATGCATGGATGAAATACACCATTATAGCATAATTACAAAATATAATATTTTGACACCACTCTTCTTAAAATGTAATTTTTTGCATTGAGTTGCTCTTAGAAGTCTCAATCCATCCAAAATTTGACAATTCGCAATCACAACAAAATGTCACTGCCATTCTCATAGACCAAACATCAATATCCTATCCAATCTAGGTACATATTGTCAATTAAATAAAAAATTAAACCCGCACAATTACATTAAATTGAGAATACAATAATAATAAAAAGATGATGTATTCTTAATTTAATAGTGATGTATGAATACGTACATCAACATCATAGAAATAGTATATTGTTGATATAATGTGTTATGATGATTATAATTTAATTACCCGTGGATAGGGGAAAATCGTTAAAGTAACACGCTATCTCATAAGATTGAGATAGGCTCTACAGACTAAGATAAGGACTACGACTAAGGTAAGGGTTACAGATTACGATAAGAATTGCAGAATACAATAAGGATTAGGCCAACAAATTATGATAAGGATTAAGGATGACGTGGACGCTACGTAACATCCTGACCCAAGTCCTATAAATAGGAAGGGCTAATCGACGTTTGGAGGTAGGCAAAAAATCCTAACTCAATATCTCGATTTCTCCAGAGAGATTATCATTCACACTGACTTGTTCGTCGGAGCCTACTCCACCGGTAACACACCGGTGTTTGTAGGATCACTTTTTCTTTTCTTTATTCAGGAAGTCAGATCAGATCCGGGTTGCGCAGAATCCATCTTCAACAGTTGGCACCGTCTGTGGGAACTTATTTTTGTTCTCTAAACAAAACATGGTTCTATTGCGATCTGGTCTAGCTACTGGCGAGGGCGAAGGGTTGCAGGCTTCTGATGCAGGGACTTCAACGGGGCAACCCCCCGTCGTCCCAAATGATCAGGAACGCGTCGCAGCGTTGGAACAACTGGTGAACCAGTTAGTCCAGCAAAATGCGATGATTCTGCAACGCTTAGCCGCCCCCAACGAGGAGAGAAACAGTGAAGTACCCAACGATGACTCCCGTAGGGTTAACAACGATGTTGAGCTTAGTCAAATAGGGGGTCAACAGAGGAGCCATCACCATCGGTCCCCTGAACGGAATACCACCAGGCTCCGTGGAGATACTTCTAGTTATGTTGGAGACAAGACTGAGGACGCCACTCAGTTCGATCTAGAGTTACAGGATCTGAAAGCCAAGGTTGACGATGTCATGCAAGCGATGAAAGGGAAGGGCCAGGCTGCAGTGAACGATATGGTACAAAAGACTAACCTAGCTTTTAGCCCAGCTGTTATGAGTTATCCTCTACCTAGCAAATTCAAGATGCCAACTCTTGAGAGCTTCGATGGGACGCGGGACCCTCTCAACCATTTGGAGACCTACAAAGCTCTTATGTATTTGCAAGCCGACCGGACGAGATTATGTGTAGGGCTTTCCCTACCACACTCAAGGGTTGGGCTCGTCTCTGGTTCAATAAATTAAAGCCAGGCTCCATTAAAAACTTTGAAGAGTTGAGCAAACAATTCATAGGACACTTCATCGCTGGGCAGAAGCACAGGAGACCAGCAACACATTTACTTAATGTGAAGCAGCAGAAGGGAGAGTCCCTTCGTGATTACATAAGTCGTTTTAACACTAAAATGCTGCAAGTTGAAGAGGTGGACGACAAGGTTGCCCTCACAGCCTTTATGGGAGGACTATAGACTTCTAAGTTCCTATTTTCCTTATCAAAGGAAGCCCCTACAAGCATGACAGAGTTGATGGTTAGAGCGTGGAAGCACATGAACGCTGACGATGCTATGAATGCACGAAAAAACAAAGATGGTGAAGATAAGAGGTCGGATAAGAAGAGGCCAGCACCTAGCACTAGGGAGGAAAGGGAATTGAAGTACAAGAAATTCTCAAACAACCAGGCTGACAGATCGTTTCGCCGCCCAGCGAGTCCAGGCAGGTATAATAACTATACCCCCCTAAATACATCTGTAGAGCAAGTCTTTCTGCAGATTCAAGATGACACATCATTGAAATGGCCACCAAAGCTAAAAGCTGATCCAACAAAGAGGTCTCGAGATAAATACTGCAGGTTTCACCGGGACCATGGACATAACACAGAGGATTGTTTCGACCTTAAAAATCAAATTAAGAACTTTGTTCGTAAAGGTCATTTACGCAAATTCACAACTAGAAATGGAAAAGGAGGCTCCAACCCAGCCCGGGAGGGCCGAGATGATCGCCCTCCTCAACACCAACCAATGGGTGAGATCAAAGTTATATCGGGTGGCTTCGCTGGTGGTGGTGAGATGAGTTCAGCTCGGAAGGCTCATGCTAGGAGAATTCGGAGTTTTTCAGAGGTGAATGAAGTTGGAATGACAAGTCCTCCAACCAAATTACCTCGAGTTGAGGAGCCGGTCATAACCTTTTCTGAAGAAGATGACAAGGGAATTCACTAGCCCCATGATGACCCTCTGGTAGTTTCCATGGTCGTTGCTAATTTCACTGTTCGACGAATACTAATAGACAATGGTAGCTCGGCTAACATACTATTTCTTAGGGCGTACGAGAAATTGAAAATTGGCCGAGAGAAGCTCCGACCAATGAAGTCACCACTGGTGGGATTTTCAGGAGACAAAGTATATCCACTGGGGGCAGTTACCCTTCCAGTTGCTGCAGGAGCCAATCCAAAGCAGGTCACTGTAATGGTGGACTTTGTAGTGGTGGACTGCCCATCATCATATAATATTATCCTGGGGAGAACGACATTGAATGCTATGAAAGCAATCACGTCCACTTACCATCTTCTAATGCGTTTTCCAACTGAATATGGTATGGGAGAGATAAAAGGGGACCAAACAATGGCTCGCGAATGTTATGTCGCCTCTCTCAGAAAAATAAAATCGCAAGAGGCATTTACGATTGAAGGGCTGGAAGGGAAAGATAGACCAGACTTTCATAGAGTGGAACCTACAGAGGAGCTAGAAGAGGTCATCCTTGGTGAGCCCAAGAAAAAAGTGAGTATAGGGTCTTTACTCCCCCCAGGTATCAAAGATGAACTTACTCAATTCCTCAGGAAGAATCAAGACGTATTTGCATGGGTACATGAAGACATGCCGGGTATAGACCCCACTATCATGGAGCACCGCCTAAATGTAAATCCTGACTTCAAACCTGTCAGACAAAAGATGAGGATTTTTGCTCCATAAAGGAATCAGGCTATATCAGAAGAGGTGGAAAAGCTCTTAAAAGCTGACTTTATTCAAGAGGTGTACTACCCCGACTGGCTGGCAAATGTGGTCCTAGTGAAGAAGGCAAATGGAAAATGGAGGCTATGTGTGGATTTCACCGACCTTAACAAAGCTTGCCCGAAGGACAGCTTTCCTCTCCCAAGAATCGATATGCTCATTGAGGGAACAGCTGGACACGAACTATTAAGTTTCATGGATGCATATTCTGGATACAACCAGATATCTATGTACACCTCAGATAGAGAAAAAACGGCCTTCATCACTGATAGAAGTTTGTACTGTTACAAAGTAATGCCGTTTGGGCTCAAGAATGCTGGTGCAACATACCAGAGGCTAGTGAATGCAATGTTTAAGCATCAAATTGGTAGAAACATGGAGGTATATGTTGATGACATGTTGGTGAAAAGCTTAAAAGCTGAAGACCATTTGACTGACCTGCAGGAGACCTTCGAGGTACTTAGGAGTCATAAGATGAAACTCAACCCCAGCAAGTGTGCCTTTGGGGTTTCCTCAGGAAAGTTCTTGGGATATATGGTAAGCAGAAGAGGAATTGAGGCCAATCCAGAGAAGATCCGAGCAGTCATTGACATGAGATCGCCAAGATTAACCAAGGATCTACAACGACTAACAGGGAAGATTGTTGCCTTGAGTAGGCTAATCTCTCGGTCAACTGACAGGTGTCTACCTTTCTTTCGTGTGCTAAGGAAAGCTTTTGAATGGACCCCAGAATGTGAGCAGGCATTCAAAGAACTAAAGCAATACCTTAGTTCTCCCCCACTATTGTCTCGAACCATACTGGGAGAGGAACTATACATATACCTTGCAGTCTCCACGACAGCTGTCAGTTCAGATCTGATACGAGAAGAAGAAGGGGTCCAAAGGCCAGTATACTTCGTGAGCAAAGCATTTAGGGGTGCGGAGGAAAGTTGGCATTTACTTTAATTGTGTCCGCCAGGAAACTGAGACCATACTTTCAAGCGCATACGATAGTGGTCCTAACAGATCAACCCCTTCGACAGGTCCTACATAAGCCAGAAAGCTCTGGTCGACTGATGAAGTGGTCAGTAGAGTTAGGGGAGTTCGACATTCAGTATAAGCCAAGAACAACAGTAAAGGCTCAGGTGTTGGCTGATTTTTTAGCTGAGTTTACCCCTCTAGAAGAGGAGAAACAACCCCAATTTTTGACAGAACCAAGTTTAAGTGAGCAGATGGGCCCAGAAGTAGTCTGGGACTTGTTCGTGGATGGGTCATCTACTGCTCAGGCTAGCGGAGCCGGGCTTGTTCTTGTCTCCCCAGAGGGAGAAAATATACAGTACGCACTTCGGTTTGGTTTTAAAGCAACCAACAACGAAGCAGAGTACGAAGCTTTGATAGCAGGATTAAAAGTGGCAAATGCCCTAGGGGTTGAGCAATTAAAGGTGTACACCGACTCCCAGCTGGTCGCTGGACAAGTTCAAGCGGAATATGAGGCACGAGACGAGAAGATGAAGAGTTATCTACAAAAGGTGAAGGAATTAAATAATCACTTCCAAAGATTCTCAATTCATCAAATACCACGAGAAGAGAATGGGAAAGTAGACGCTTTAGCTCGGCTAGCTACTGCATTAGAACCTGAGATCAATAAGAATATACCACTGGAATATTTGGATGAACCATCTATATCTCAAGAGAGACAAATTGAAGTGCAACAAGCGATATTAAGTGTGGAATGGGCAGATCCTATCATCAGATATATCAAGGATGGGGTGCTACCAATAGACCGAGCAGAAGCTCGAAAGGTCAAGATGCGGGCAGCTAGGTATACGCTTATCAAAGGGGTGTTCTACAAGAGAAGCTTCTCCATGCCGTATTTACGATGCGTTTCTAGCGAGGAAGCTGACTACATGTTGAGGGAGATCCACCTAGGAGTTTGTGGAAACCATGCTGGGGGTAGGTCACTTACAAACAAGGCCATCCGACAAGGATACTATTGGTCCACCATGCAGAAAGATGCACTTGACTTCGTTAAAAAGTGCGACAAGTGTCAACGATTTGCCAACATCCCGAGACAACCGTCAGAGGAGATGACTCCCATGTCAGGACCATGACCATTTGCTCAATGGGGAATGGACTTGATTGGCCCTCTCATCAAAGGCAAAGGGCAGACTAAGTATGCCATTGTTATGGTTGATTACTTCACTAAATGGGTAGAAGCTAAGCCTCTGGCCAAGATCACAGAGAACAATATAAGGAAGTTCGTATGGAAATCAATAGTTTACAGATTTGGGATTCCTAGAGTGATTGTCACAGACAATGCAAAACAGTTCGATAACTCTGACTTCAAAAATTTTTGTTCCGAGCTCGGGATTCAAATTCATTTCTCATCGCCAGGACATCCCCAGGCGAATGGACAGGCCGAAGTCACTAACAGAACAATCCTTCAGATGATCAAGACTCGACTTGATGCTACAAAGGGACTGTGGCCTGAGCAGCTGCCGAGTGTATTGTGGGCTTACCGTACTACTGCAAGGACTCCCATAGGGGAAACCCCTTTTCTTTTAGCATTTGGAAGTGAGGCAGTAGTACCTGTAGAGATTGGCCTAACAAGCTTTAGGACGGAACACTACGAGCCCAAGCAGAACGAAAGGGAGTTGGAAGTAAGCTTGGACCTAATCGAAGAAAGGAGATACCTAGCCCAGATTAGGATGGCTACCTATCAACAGAAGGTTTCCAAGTATTACAATGCTCGGGTCAAGCCTATGAGGTTCTCAGTAGGAGATTTAGTACTCCGCAAAGTTACTCAGGCAACTAAGGATTCAACCATAGGAAAACTAGGTCCCAAATGGGAAGGGCCTTACAAAGTTACGCGATGTCAGCGACCAGGAACATACTAGTTGGAGGACTTAAAGGGAAAGCCACTGCCTCACCCATGGAATGTTGAGCATCTAAAGAAATATTATCAGTAAACAATTTCAATTTAGTCTCAATTTATTATTTATTTTTGCTAATACTTCTAGTTGCAATAATTACTTCATTCTCTACGAATGAATGTCTTCAATAGCCTTGTTATCAACTTTGGCTTTAATAAAGTATTCCCTACTTGGATCAGTTGTTTCAAATAATTCATTATCATTTTGATATGTTAAGATATTCATGTTAAATGGGTGAACTGGGTGAAGCTCATAATAATCTACTTCCCTTATTAAAGGGTGAGCTGGGTGAAGCTCATAATAATCTACTTCCCTTGTTAAAGGATGAGCTGGGTGAAGCTCACAGCAATCTACTTCCTTTGTTAAAGGGTGAGCTGGGTGAGCCTCATAGCAATCTACTTCCCTTATTAAAGGGTGAGCTGAGTGAAGCTCATAGTAATCTACTTCTCTTGTTAAAGGGGGAGCTAAGTGAAGCTCGTAACATCTACTTACCTCATTACATAGACGAGGTGAGTAAAACTCGTCTTAATCTACTTTCCTTATCAAAGGGATGAGCCGACCAAAGATGTCAATAAAATAACATAATGCGGCAGTCGCAATGGCAAAACATAACTGTCCTTCCTACTTATCAACCCTACAAATATAAATGGAAACTGATTGTAAAGAAAGAGAAGTTTCAAGCACAAAGAGAAACATGGGAGGAAATAAATGAATGGCTACACATCTATCCTATTCGGAATCACTCGCTTCATCTAGTTGAATGACAGAGAAGTCTTGGTCTGCAAATTCAAAAGCAGCACGATTCTGAAAATCTTCGAAGCCGTCAAAGTAGGCCTTCGACATAATCTCCTTGAAGGTGGGTGAGGCTTTAAACTCACCCACTGCATTGGCTCTTTCCATCATTAGTTTCTGGGACATCTCCTTGTTGAGTTTTTGCACATAAGATGCATGACAAGCTCGTTCTGTTTCTAACTCAGCACGCATTGCTTGTAGAGCGGCCTCATGTTTATCACGTTCCACTTGTAAATCGGCTTGGTGTTGGGAGCGAGTAGAAGCCAACATATTGGTATAAAGCTCTCCTCCTTTTACAGCTAGACACGACAAGTAATACGCGTGTGTATTCACCTGTACGCACGTGGGAATAAAAAGTTACAATGAAGAGGAAAAGAAAAGCTAAATAAAAACAGAGGATGGTGCGGGAGTTAACCCGTGCGAGATTATGCATGAGTCGGTCTACAATCTCAGTTGGAGGGCGTGAATTCAGATACATCATATCCTCATTCGACAAAGACTCGCTTATCTTCTTAAAAGCAAGTTGAGCATTGCCTAGAACAGATACTGCTGAAGAGTAGTGATCTGAGGGGAGTACCGCTGGTTCAGTAAGGAGTGGCATAGTCCCATCCACAAGCTGATGAGGGAATTGCGAGTCGGATTCGTGTGGAGAAAGAACTGAAACAGGTAAGACCCTTTGTGCTGTAATAGTAGGCTTCTTTTTTTTCCTCTTGGCGGGGGAAAGTAGGTGGGAAGTCACTTGAGCCTTCTTTGAACTGAGCTAGAAGCCTCTTATTAAGTTTTTGGGATATAGTTACAGAGGACTTGCCAACTGGCTGAAGACCAATCCCATGGGTAAACAAAGTCTGAGGTGTCACGAGTGAAGACCAGTCCCTCACTGGGTAGTTAAAGGCTTCCTTTATTCGCTGGAGATCATCAGATGAAACGGCAATCTCTTTAACGCCTGAAAGAACAACAACTCTGTTAATAACTCAAACAAAATTTACTTTGAGTTTCAAAACATAAAAGGGTATCATTATGGACAACTCACCGGTGGAATTCTGATTACACCACGCACGAGGAATGGAAGTCCCTATTCGTAGGAAAGCACTTTCTTCAGGAAAGAACTCCCAGCCATCACCAGAAATGAAAAAGAAACTGCTTTTCCATGGTTTGTGCTTAAGGGGAATTCCAGAGATAAGAATTCTGTCCCGTGGGGAGAAGTACAGCCAGTCACCCCTTTTGGGAATGTAGCAATGAAGAAACTCTTGGATAGTGAGCGAGGTATTACAACAAGCTCGCCACAGAACTAAACAACCCATCATTGTTTTCCAGGCATTCGGGGAGAGTTGAGTCGGAGCAAGATTAAGGTGACGCAACAGTTCCCTAATAAAAAGCGGGATTGGAAAATGTAATCCGGCAATGAAAGCAGACTCATAGAAACAAATCTCAGTTGGGTAAAAGGAGGACACTCTATCATCAAGTGAAGGAAGTCTGAGAGCAACACTGTCTGGAATTGAATAAGTTTGCCTGATCCGATCCAGATCCTGTGAGGTAAGGGAGCTTGCTATATCCTGTACCAGATGTGTCTCTGACAGAGCCGAATCAGACTGACGGTGTTCCTCGTCTGACATAATGTTAGATTCTGGGTAAAACATGCTGGCAGTAACACACGCTACTGTATGCAAGAGCCTAGCTTCACAGTGACCTATAAAATTTTCTAACTTTGGTCTTGGTATACTGAGTTGGAGGAAAAAAGCAACAACGAATTAAATAGAAGCAGGAAGAAAACGAGGGCATGGAACTTACCACATCACTACGACTGGCACTACATGGCTTTCTGGATGATGGAAGTAATTTGAATGAATTTTACTCGAACTATCTCGGTTTATAGCAGAAGAACGTAAACAGATAAGGAAAGTATTTATGGTGGAATTCTAATAGAAATCTGTTTCGTGAGGGACAAGCAGCTCTCAGCGGGCTATTTTGCGGGCTATTTTACTTTTACAAGGTAGAATAGGATTCGGAGTTCGAATAGGACAACCACACTGGCAGCCCTGCATGAGTTACCTATGTGCCAAAAGGTAGGCTGCCAGCTTGGCAGCCTGCCATATATACAAACTGTCAATGTGGCACTACGGTCAAGTTAGGCAATCTAAGTCAAGTTAATGGATAAGGCTCTACTATTTCATAATCAAACCAACTTATTGTAGAAATACAGGGTGAACGGTTCTACAATTCCAGCGATTTGTTATTATGTCATATTTGGGAATTAACGTTCCGGTGGTTTGACAAGCAATCCTCCGAAACGGGGGGCAACTGATGATTATAATTTAATTACCCGTGGATAGGGGAAGATCGTTAAAGTAACGCGCTATCTCATAAGATTGAGATAGGCTCTACAGACTAAGATAAGGACTACGACTAAGATAAGGGTTACAGATTACGATAAGAATTGCAGAATACGATAATGATTAGGCCAACAGATTATGATAAGGATTAAGGACGACGTGGACGCTACGTAACATCCTGACCCAAGTTCTATAAATAGGGAAGGCTAATCGACGTTTGGAGGTAGGCAAAAAACCCTAACTCAATATCTCGATTTCTCCAGAGAGATTATCATTCACACTGACTTGTTCGTCGGAACCTACTCCACCGGTAACACACCGGTGTTTGTAGGATCACTTTTTCTTCTCTTTATTCAGGAAGTCAGATCAGATCCAGATTGCGCAGAATCTATCTTCAACATGTTACATTCTTATATGCCAAAGAATTCAACTCAATACACTTGAAAGGATCCAAGTCCGATAAACCAAGTACCTAAACCCTTATCTACAATACTTATCATCAGATAATACATCCTGCAAATTCATTTTCTTGAATGGTCCATGTGTCTACTAACCACACATAACATGTAAATACCAAGGCTAATTCAGGACATAGCATATATTATGCTGCGAACTGAATTTGAGAATAAAAATTAAAACTTAAGGAATTTGACAATTTTTGGTAAGAAAAAACTTGAATGAATTCACTATCCATTTCCTAATCCGTCTTAGAACTCAATTTAACCCGTCATTCGAAGTTGGGGACATTGTGCAATGAGCTCAAGAGTCGTATCGGATGTAACATAAGAGAATCGATTATTACAGTCTTAAAATTTTATTCTTCTTGCACAATATCAGATGTGTTGATTCGGTCTTAGAAACCGAGTCTTATGTGATTTTAATTCTCATTGAGCATCAGACTTGGACACGATGGAATGCATTGCAATTCAATGTGGCTGAACTATAGACTTTTAGCAAATAAAAAGGGTCTGATCCTCAACAGTTTAGACGGTCTCTCCCACCAACTGAATTAAATCAAAATCAACTGATGTGATTGTCAAACACATTTCTTGTACTTGTACCAATAAAGCATTGGGTATGAGGTTTAAGGTTGGTCCTCTAGCACTTTGTTTCGCAAACCCAACTCTATTTCCATAACTCAAATTTAGTTTTTCATTTAAGAATTTGTATCTGCATTTATCATTTTTATTTAAGGACTTGCATAAATATAATTCTCAATACATTATTTTTATTTTATTTTTTTTATTCTTTTTTTCGAATTGTAAGTTGTAATAGTACCAAATGATGATCAGTCAATTCAAAGAGAAGTGCCCATGAAACAAAATGCATGATCTTTTCATTGTTGACTTTTCTGGTGGTATTTGAAACATGTATATATTATTCATTTTCTTGTGTAAATTAAAAATAATTTACATCTTGAACAGGGATTAAATGGAATGGTCAAATAATCAATCTTATTAGAGGTGGGGTCATAAATGTTGTGTATCATATGGCTTTTCCTTCCAACCAACGGCTGTAGAAGTCCAATGACTCTCTTGGCTTGTATTCAGGTACAGTGTGTCCTGCTCCCTGCACAATTTCACAACAATAACATTTTAAATATATATATATATATATATATATATATATATATATATATGCAAAAAATAAAAAATATTTACGTGTTATAATATTATTAGACCACGGATCTTTTATAACATTAAAAATTAATAAAAGTGAAAGGAAATAAAATTTCATTTTTAGGAGGGACAAATGATACCAAATCTACTAATGTTTTATAATATTAAAAATAAATAAAAGTTTAAAAAGAATATAACTTATTAAAAGGGTTCAATTAAAATCAAATTTATTAATACAGTCCAATTATATTATTACACTTCACTAGAAATTTCACCTTAATGCTACTCAAGCATGAGGTGAAAAGTTTGTTTAAAAACAAGCCAATTGGCCCCAAATGATGTTATTTTATCAATATTCGTGGAGTCAATGTTATTTGATTTGGTTGTTTTAGAATGATAGCAAGGTCAACATTAACAATAAAGCTTAAAACTTTGTTCTTAATTACCCCAAAAAATTAAAAATTAAAAATTAAAAAGCTTAAAACTTTATTGAAAAAATGGATCCAAAATCATAATAATTTGACCCCGCTAAGTTTTCATAATGTGATTGTAATTCTAGACCAATCAATTTTAATTTGTAAGCCCGATTATTGGGAATTCTTCATTTCATTGCAAAATCACCCAATGTAAAAAAATAATAATAATAATAAAATAAAAATAAAAAATACAATTACTCTCATACAAACCTTGATGGTGAGATAAATAAGGTTGTTAGCATATCCTTGTGTGTACCTGCAATAGATAAAAATAATCCATTTCTTTTGAGTAGGTCTTTGTCCTAGTGGTAGAATATAATGTGATTAAGGGCCATAGAAAGAAAATTAAGTGAGAGAGAGAGAGTGTGTGTGTACCCAGCAATTTGATCATTGGACACCCAAGACCTCCATTCATCCACAATCTGATAACCAAGTGATCTGGTCCATGCTTCACTCCCAGTGTGTGGAACACACATATCATGATCTCCACTGTAACCAAATTATATAAACATGTATCATGATGTTTATGCATGAAAATGTGTGACATTCACAATTGGTATTCTACAATAAGAGACCATTATCTTGTTTTGATCCCATGACTTTAATTCATAATAGAGTAATCTTATCGATTCACAAAAACTCACACTCAACCTTGGGGGGGGACATTGACAATGATAATTTTTACTAAGGGAATATTATTGAAAGAAAAAAATTTAGGGAGGGGGCGGGGGCTGTGCTTGGATACTCCATACGGGTTGCATCAAAACTCGTCCTCACTGGTGCCTTTGTTATTCCATACTCAATTGTGTATGCTTGCACTTCACTTAATTTATTTAAATTATGAAATGACAAAATTACCCTTCAACTTGTAAATTAATTAGAATACTTTTTTGATAATTGTAGATAGTGTAATAAACAAATAAATAAAATAAAATAAAAAACTGGGGTGCAAGTGCACAACATTGAAATGCGAATATCATCTTCTTATACAAATTCTGATATATATTTTAACTCAAATATAATTTTTCATACGCACTATAATTAAATTACACGTGATCATATATTATTTTACTCCATTTCAAGCCACATCAATCTTAATTATGAAATAAAAAAGGAGGATACTTAATTTACCTGAATATAAGAGCACGATAACCCTGCATGGTGAGGTTTTTGTGGTAATTAATCATGCTTCCAGCATCACTATAGTAAAATAGAGAGTTACATATGCTCCAAGCTCCACTTTCCTAATTTCAACAAAGAAACAAGAAATTGGGGTAGTGATAAATTAAAAAACACTTCAATTTAGTTTTGAAGAAGAACTACTAAATTAAATTGAAATTAATTTCTACAAGAAAATAAGTAGGAAGTGCACATACTGGACTTGCATGAATTGCTTTTCTAACTTCATCATTGTTCAGCCACACTGTTGCTATTGTATCATCCTGTATATATATATATACACACACACATATATAAAACCATTATTATGATCATTAATGAAGTGAGACAAAGAATTTGTTCCGCACACTTTTTTTTTTTTTTTTACTTGATAAGGAGAGTTAGTAGTTAGTGAGGTTAGGGAAAAGAGATTTGAACCTTATCAGACACTTAAGACTTAACACTTTACCACTCTAACATCACCGTCACACTCTTTAGAGCTACCAAATTTGTTATTAGACAAAGAAATGAAGAGTCTTTTTTTTTTTTTTTTTTTTTTTGGCAATACAATTCCGAAAAGAAAATTAATTAAAAGGGAGGTCAAAATAGCTATGCTAGGTTTATAAGGTAGTGAGTGTAAATTACCTTAATATTAAAAAGTTCAGACTCATCGGAAAAGATTTTCTTAGGCTTATATATATATATATATATATATATATAGAGAGAGAGAGAGAGAGAGAGAGTAGTTACCACACAAGGAACGCCACTGAGCTCCTCTGCCATTAACTGAGGCCAGGATTTCATAAGGCCAAATTTGACAGGTGCTCTGAAAGGCCATGCACGACCAAACATCCTTTTTCTCACTCCATCAGGCTTCTCACTATTATTTCCTAATTCCTTAAAGCTTGTTGGTAAGCTGCTTCTGCTTCCATTTACTTTTTTGTCTTTTCCACTTGGCTTGCCACCATGGTAGCATGGCTCAAGGATGTCATATATGTTTAGACCAGCCAAAGCCTGCCAATCATATATATATATATAAATAGTCACCGAAAAAAACAAGTACAAAATTAATTAGACAACTACTTTATATATATATATATATATATATATATATATATTAATTTTCTTACTTTGAGGAAAAGAAATGATAGTTTTTTTTTTGTTTTTTTTTTTTTTTTAATTACAAAACCAATAAATGGTATTAAAAAAAAAAAAAAAAAAAAACCAATTAATCATGAGGCTACAGTATAGTAAATGATACATTATCTTTTGATAGAACAATACTTGTCTCTCACCTGTGAGGATGAACCTTCTTCCAGCCATTAATGTGACATAATGATAGGGTGACATCCGTCAATTTGTAATTTTTAATATATAAGAGATAAAAAGTTGCAATATATATATATATACATATATATACATATATGTTTTCTTTTACATATTTTAAATTTAAAATAGAGAATGTGTCATTGCGCCACATTAGCAATGTGGAGGAGGTTTCTTTTCACTGGCGAGGAGGCAAGTATTGTTACTTTTCATATAGTAAAAATCATAATAACGAGGTCACTCTAATTGAGCTCATACCATCTAATTAGTCGTTAAAGGTTGTACGGATATATATCTCGATCCAACAATTGAGATAGAGTGAGCTATTGTTACTAGATATGGGCGCACGTGAAGTTAAAGAATATGTGAAATAATTGAGCCAACTTACACCATAGATTTTTCCAAGTATATTTGAACATCTCGTGCTGTTGTCATCATAGTAGTTACCTTTGCAAGCCGCTTCAGCTTCCTACAAACAGTTTTATATCATTTTACTGTCTTTGAAACTTATTTATAAAAGCAAGAACTACTCAACTTGGAAGCAAATGTATATTAATATGTGCACCAAACAATTAAAGTACATTAGATGTATGCATATACATAGTTAAACCTCAGTTTCATCCTAAGTAGTCTCACATGTAGCATTGAAAATAATTACTAATTAATGTTATATAGGAATGAGTCCAAATTGCATAATGTCCAAAACTTTGAAATGGTTATTTCAGAATCAAATGGATGATAAAGTGGTAAAAGTTTAAGGTCTGTTTAGTTCAATTTTTAGAAACCATTATTAAGAACTCATAAAACAGAAAATCGTTTTTGGATATCATTTTTCCGAAAAGATACCTCTTTTAACTGAATTTTTGTAAAACAGTTTTCAAAAACAGCAATCCAATAAAATATATATATATATATATATATATATATATATATATATATATATATATATTCTCAGAAAATTGAACCAAATATGCCCCTAACTGTTTAAGATGATCCATGCAACATTCAAATCATATATATATATATGTTTCACCCACCTCAAACATAGCATCTGAGATTAGGCTCATTCCATGTGCAAATGGGACAAGAGCATTGCCATCAAATACTTCGTCAGTGACCCCATTTCCTACCATGTAACCCTGCACAATGTGATTCAAAGTTCAAACCATGTATGTATGTATATATATATATATATACACAAACACACATATATACACACACAATTATACATATAACCTAATTCTTGAATTTGGAGTTGCCAAAGTTACAAACCTTGAAATTAATAAGGGGATTCACACCACTTTTGATTCCTGTCAAAAAGACCAATTAATGTTACACTAAAATTAAAAACTTGATCATAGAACATGAATGTGTCACTATATGTGTGAGCATAAAATACCTTCTGCTACATTTGAAGCAAGAGTTGGCACATAAACTCCGGCATAAGACTCTCCGGAGATGTAAAACGGATTGGAAAGGAACTCCGGATATTGTTCAAACCACTATATATAGTTTCAAAACAACACAAATTTATTGGATTGAATTCATCTTCAACTTTATCTCAAAAAATTCGAGAATTAACAGTATTACCTTGAGGAGAAAATTGTGTGTGTCTTTGGCTGTTTGTATGTCCCCAGTTTTGTATGTGGTGTTTGGAGAGTAAGAAAAGCCAACACCAGCAGGGGAGTCCAAATAGATGATGTTGGAAACCTTGGGACAAGAATTCGAAAATCGCATACATGAGAGAATTTGAGATTAATATGAGAAATAAATTAAATTTGGAAAAGTGAAATAAATATGGAATTATGAACTATTTTAGTTCAAGTCATTGTAAAACCTTAGACCAACTATATGGATTTAGATGTAAGGTGGGCAGGCTTCCTTTAGACTTTCCAGCTTCAAAATTGAATGGTCCTGCAAAATAAATAGTCTATTCCTAGTAACAAACCATTCTCTTTGTACGTACTTCTCAATCAATAAATTTGCTTTACCTTTCAAAAAAAAAAAAAAAAAAAAAAAAAAAAAACAATTGATGGAAAAAAGGAATCACAAACATTGATATATATATATAGTTATAGTTTAATGTATTACAACAACAACAAAGCTTTTTTCTAATTATTTAAAATTTGTTGCATGAATCAGGCGTGTGCTCTATTTAGTCATAGAGCCAGTCATTAATTCACATTCTATGAGCCAGCTTAGGTCAAGGGGGCAGGTGCCCTGATCCAGGTTGGCCCACTAAATCTTCTATACGTATAGGTATAAAATTTATAAAATATTACTTTGTGCCCCTTGAAAATTATTTTTCTTTCTAAAACACCCCTGAGCCTGATTTTATTTTATTTTATTTTATTTTATTTTATATATATATATATATATATATATATATATACACACACACACACATATAGGTATTTGTACCCCCCTAAATTAAGTCTTGGCTCCGTCCTTGCATGCTATCCTATCAATAACTCAATCCAGGTTAACCTTGATCTTCATCTTCTCTACTATTACTTTCAATGTAAAACTCTATCCAGCTTAACTTTGATCTTCATCTTCTCTGCTATTACTTTCAACGTGGACTATATCACTTATTTAACGTGAATGAATGGATTGAGAATACGTCTACATTCATGTGACTTGATATATATGAGGTAATTCATGTGACTTGATACACAATGCAGATTGAGTACCAGCTCTAATCAGTGAAAATGAAACAGCCCACCTTACAAAAAAAAGGGTCCTTTTGCAAATACATTGAATCACTCAAGCATTCCATTCTAAAAACTATTTTATCCCACCCTTCCAAAGGACCACAACCCTATTAGGCATTTAAATATTGAGATAAAAGGGACCCAAAAAAAAAGGGCCTAACCTATGAGACAAGGCATTTTTAGTGATCGAGTTTTAAATATTGCTTTGTAACCAAGTTCATGGGCAAACATACATGATGATCAATTCAACATATATAGAACAGTGACATGAAAATAATCAATTCACTCACCTTTTAGAATTAGAATATATATACATATATATATATATATATATATATATATATATATATATATAGAGAGAGAGAGAGAGAGGACATTAAGAAGAAGTACCATGTTCATAAACAAATCCATCAAAGCTAGAGCACCCTGGTCCTCCATTGAGCCACAAAACAACAGGATCACTTGATGGGCTTCTTTCAGACGCGACGAAGTAGTAGAACAGATTCTTTGGCTCTGGATTCCCATCTATGGTGACAAACCTTCACATCCCAATTCACAAAAATCAACCACAAAAACTCAGTGCTTAATTTTTATTTTTAATAGAATTAATATCGTATATATGCACGAGACATATACACACACACACACACACACATATATATATATATGTACCCTGAGTAGTGCTTTGAAAGGAAATTGCCATTGAACCCTGGAAGGCTTGTAATCAGAGCAGCTTCAGGAGCTGCTTCAATCACACCAAAACACAAAAGCATCCAAAGTACTAAAACACTGTAAGAGATCGAGTTTGCCATTGCTATTGCCAAACAAAGTCTGTAGGACTCCTCTTATATACAAAAAGAAATGAACTATAAAATAACTATGCAGTTTAAGATCTCTCTCACACACACACAGCCAAACAAGTAAAGACAATGGAGGGGAAGGAATTAACAAGAAAAGAGCTGTGATAAAAGCAACAAAAGAGCAGCTTGGATAAACCAAACAGGGAAGGACAGAGGAAAGAGGAACAAGAAAAGAAAGGAAGGCAAAAGAAATGGAAAATTAAGAAAAGTTAGAGCATGATTTTTTTAAAAATGTATATTTGGCTGGCTAATGGATTGTCCTTTCTTCATCGATCTCCAATGATCAGTGATTGCATTGACAAATTAAGAAAAAAAGAGTCTTGGTACTTTTGGGGTCCATATTTGCACACATATTTAATACAATTTCTGATTTACTTTAAAATATAAGGAAAATGATAAAAGTCCTAAAACAGTATTATCATAATGATAAACGTGTTCTTTTGTATCACTACTAATTAAGAGTTTTTGTTGCATACTATGATTGAAATAATCAAAAAATATATATATATAAATTCATGATTAGTTGATTCGGTAATTTATTGTAAATGTATGGACTTTTGACCTTATAATAATGTCCCATATTAGTAGCTGACTCTTTTTTTTCTTTTTTTAAGAAAGTCTTAAATTAGTAGTACATTTTAATAAGTCATCTATCCATAATTATTTTTAAAATTTTTCATAATTATCTTTTTAATTTTTTAAAAATCTTCTGAGGTAAGATTGACATGCCCTTAAAAAGTTATAAATTCAAAAATAGAATTAAGAAAGAGTATTAGCATGACCAATTCACATCTTTCATCACTTATAATAAATAAAAGGCAGAAGAGTAAAATATTCCTCTATACTGTACCTATAATGCATAATGCTCCCGGATTATTTTTTAAAGCAAATTGCTCTCTTCAATTATCAAAAGCAAGCAAAATGCCTCTTTAAAGGTCACTGGAGGCCGAGGTGATTGCTTTATCGCCGGGTACTCTAACGGCGACGAACCGATTTGTGTGCCAGATCTGTAACAAAGGATTTCAACGGACCAGAACCTTCAGCTTCACAGGCGATGCCATAACTTGCCTTGGAAGCTCTGTCAGCGAGTGAGTGGAGAGGTCCGAAAGAGAGTCTATGTCTGTCCCGAACCTACCTGCCTTCACCATGATCGGTCGAGAGCGCTTGGAGATCTCACCGGCATAAAGAAGCACTTCGGCAGAAAGCACGGTGAGAATATATGGGCAAAGTAGTCATTTGATGATAGCAGATATTTTGATTTATTATAATAAATTAATAAGTAAGGGTAAATTAGTAATTGTGTTATTATGTTGGTCGGAAATTAACTTCCGACATCCTTTAAGAGGGCATTTTGCTTGCTTTTGATAATTGAATGGAGCAACTTGCTTCAAAAAATAGTTAAGGTGCATTATGCAATATAGGTATGGTATAGGGGGCATTTTGCTTGCTTTTGATAGTTGAAGGGACAACTTGCTTCAAAAAATAGTTCGTATGCAACATAGGTATAGTATAGGTGGGTATTTTACTCTTTTGTCTAAATAAAAAATAATTTACTAAAAAAAAATGAAAGGAATTTCAGTGGCATTTAGTAAATTGCAGAGCATTGAGAGGGAAGTGATTGGCGTGAAGACCGAGAAAGGAAGGGCACGTGGGACCCATTAGTTTTGGAGATTGCAATATCTATTAGTATTTCATGAATCTAACTTTCAATTTTTCAAACTTGTAACACTTTTTACTAAACATATTTTGTTTCCAAAAATCTTGCAACAAATTTACAATACCAAACAAACTTTAAAATAGTGTTGAACACATTCTAAAGAAAAAACAATGCTTCTGCTACATGTCAAAGCAAAAGCAGTTGTCAAACGAGTGCTTTGTTATTCACTACCATAGACTTTAATTTATAGCGGACAAGGCAACTGTAGGCTACAAAGTTGTTTTTCATTTGATGGCACAATCCAAGAGAGTGAGAATATACTTTGTTAGAGCATCTCCAACGCTATTTTAAAAGTCTTTTCAAACTCAAAATATAGCAGGTTTCTTTTACAAATACACTCCAATGGTCGATTATAGAAACCTTTTAAAATAGGAGAATCTCAATAGTTTTCTCATATAGCAATATATAGCAGGTTGCCATATGTTGAGATGCCGAGACTTTTTTCGATTTTTGTGCAAACATGGGATGAAAAGTCAATAATGCATTGATGAAATACACCATTAGAGTAGAATTGCTAAAATATAATATTTTGACATTATAACTCATCTTAAAATATAGTGTTACCTTGAAAAAAAAGCACTTTTATTGGAAATATTCTTAGAGGTCTCAATCCATCCAAATTTTGACAATTCACAATCACAACAAAATGTCACTGCCAATCTCAAAGACCAAACATCAATATCCTATCCAATTTAGTTACATGTTGTCAATTAAATAAAAAATTTAAACCCGCGCGACCACATTAAATTGAGAATACAATAATAATAATAAAATATTACATTCTTGATTTAATAGTGATGTATGAGTGTGTTCATCAATATCATATAAATATTATATTCTTGATGTTGCGGGTTGCATTCTTAGATGCCAAAGAGGCAAAGAATTCAATTCAATACACTAGAAAGGATCCAAGTCCGCTAAACTAAGTCACTAAAATATTACATTCTTGATCACATACTATTGCCTGCAAATTCATTTTCTTGAATGGTCCATGTGTCTACTAACAACACATTGTAAAAACCAAGGCCAATTCAGGACATAGCATATATTATGCTGCCAACTGAATTTGAGAATAAAAATTGGAACTTAAGGAATTTGACAATTTTTGCGAAGAAAGAACTTGAATATTTTATTACCATTTTCTAATTCGTCTGAGAACTCAATTTAACCCACGGTTCAAAATTGGGGACCTTATGTAATGAACTTAAGAGTCATATCGGACGAAACATAAGAGAATTGACTATTACAATCGTAAAATGTTATTCTTCTTACATAACATCAAATGTGTTGATTCAATCTATTCTTAAAAATTCCACGAGTCTTTGTATTATTTTAATTCTTATTAAGTATTAGATTTGGACATCATTGCGATTTGATGTGACTCGATTTTAGTCTTGTTAAATGTAATGAAAAAGGTTTTATCCTCTACAGTCGGTCTCTCCCATCAACTGAATTAAAAATCAACTTTTGATGTGATCGTAACACATTTCTTGTACTTGTTGTACCAAGAAAGCATTAGGTATGAGGTTTCTAGCACTTTGTTTCGCAAACCCAACTCTATTTCCATAACTCAACTTTAGTTTTTCATTTAAGAATTTGTATCTGCATTTATCATTTTTATTTAAGGACTTGCATAAATATAATTCCCAATACATTATTTTATTTTATTTTATTTTTTGAATTGTGAGTTGTTATAGTACCAAATAATAATGATCAGTCAATTCAGAGAGAAGCGTTGATGAAACAAAGTGCATGATCTTTTCATTGTTGCCTTTTCTGGTGTATTTGAAACATTTATATATTATTCATTTTCTTGTGTAAATTAAAAATAATTTACATCTTGAACAGGGACTAAATGGAATGGTCAAATAATCAATCTTATTAGAGGTGGGGTCATAAATGTTGTGTATCATATTGCTTTTCCTTCCAACCAGCGGCTGTAGAAGTCCAATGACTCTCTTGGCTTGTATTCAGGTACAGTGTGTCCTGCGCCCTGCACAATTTCACAACAATAACATTTTAAATATATATATATATATGCAAAAAATAAAAAATGCTTAAGTGTTATGATATTATTGGACTACGTATCTTTTGTAACATTAAAAATTAATAAAAATAAAAGGAAATATAATTTCTTTTTTAGGTGAGACAAATGATACCAAATCTACTTATGTTTTATAATATTTTAAATAAATAAAAATTTAAAAAGAATATAACCTATTAAATGGGTTCAATTAATACCAAATTTATTAATATAGTCAAATCATATCATTACTCATAGATTTCACACATTAATGCTACTCGAGCATGAGGAGATGAGTTTGTTTAAAAACAAGCCAATAGGCCCCAAATGATGTTATTCCATCAATATTCATAATATCAATTTTATTTTGTTTGGTTATTTGACAATGACAGCAAGGTCAACATCAACAATAAAGCTTAAAACTTTGTTCTTAATTACCCACCAAGAAAAAACAAAATTATACGGCTAACACACAATGTTTGGTTGTTTTCTTTAATAGTTTTTTTTAGGTTGAATTGACTTGAGCCAAGTAGGCACATGTCAATTTTGATTTGAAAAATAATGTTATTTATAATTGCACCAAGTAACGATGTCTATAATAATTTTATATTATGTTTGGTATCATCGAATCGGTATTTTAAATTTAAAATTTGTACTAATTTTTTTTTAATTGCAAATTCAAAACACGAATTCAGTGCGACCAAATATAACATTAAAAAATTAGCTATAAAATAATAAACAAAAATTATAATTTCTTAGGTGTTATGATATTATTGGACCACGTATCTTTTATAACATTAAAAATTAATAAAAATAAAAGGAAATATAATTTCTCTTTTAGGTGGGACAAATGATACCCAAATCTACTAATGTTTTATAATATTAAAAATAAATAAAAATTTAAAAGGAATATAACCTATTAAATGGGTTCAATTAATATCAAATTTATTAAATCAGTCCAATCATATCATTACACGTCACTAGAGATTTCACCTTAATGATGTTATTTAATCAATATTCATGGAGTCAATGTTATTTGGTTTGGTTATTTTACAATGATAGCAAGGTCAACATTAACAATAAAGCTTAAAACTTTGTTCTTAATTACTCCCAAAAATTAAAAATTAAAAAGTTTAAAACTTTATTGAAAAAATGGATCCAAAATCATAATAATTTGACCCCACTAAGTTTTCATAATGTGATTATAATTTCTAGACTAATCAATTTAATTTGTAAGCCCGATTATTGGGAATTCTTCCTAAAAAAAATTTTAAAAATGCAATGGTTTTTAAAATCTTAGAGCTAACACAATGTTTGATTGTTTTTTGTTAATGGTTATGTTCCATTTATATCGAGTTTTTATAATAAAAGCTTTTTTTGGAGTCGAATTGACTTGAGTCAAGCAGACATACGCCAATTTTGACTTGAAAAGAGAGGATCTGCTTGGTTTGTAACTCTAAAAATAGTTTCTTCTAGCCCTTTGCTCATGGAACTGGAGGAAGCTTCTCCAACTGAGGGCTGCATTTAGACCTCTTGTCAACCTAGAAATTGGGGATGGAACACAAACCAATTTTTGGTTTGACAATTGGTGCTGCCTTGGACCCCTATTTCAGCTTGTATCTCCCCAACAAATAAGTGAATCAACCTATGATAACAAGACCAAAGTTAGTTCTTTCATCCAAGGATCTACATGGTCCTTCCCTCCTGATATTACCAACATCATTCCACAGCTACAGCAAATTCACAACCTTCCCTCGAAACCTTCACCATCTGGTAAATTCTCAGTTGCAATGACTCTCAAATACCTCAACCAACATTTACCCTCTGTACCATGGGCTCATCTTGTCTGGCCTAAGCTTTCAATCCCTGAACATTCATTTACCCTATGGGTGGCTATCAGACACGGATTACCAATACTGGATCGGAAATGCACGGACCACATCAATTCCACCACATGTGTTCTTTGCAATAATGCTTTCGAAAATCACGATCATCTCTTCTCTAAGTGCTCCTATGTTAAACCCTCGTGGACATATATCCAAGCACGTTGTGGGTATTATTTTATGCCTTCTAATTAGGGAAGCTTAATCTCATGGATCTCCTATAACTGAAGAAGGGATACTGCCTCACTTAGCAGCTTTCTTACCTTGTCTACCATATCTGGATTGAGCGTAATAGAAGAATATTTCAGAAGAAAAGAATGTCACAAAATACAATCTTACATCTCACTCTGGACACTATCCAATTGAAGCTGATGGCATCCACTTTCCCTAACTTCCCCGTCGGCAGAAGAATTGTAGATGATTGGGACCTTCCTCTGTCTGTTCTGAGACCTCCGGCGAAACCACCAGATATCTAGCTTATGGGAATTCGAGGCTCTGTCCATGCTCACCGGATTGTGAAGTTCCCTTCAATCTTCAACTGCTAACCGTTTCCTCTTTGGACTTTGTTCGCCTCCTAGGTTTTTGTTTTGACAACTTGGCGTATGGGGCCTGGTTGATCTATGATGTATTGCTTCCTATCCTAGCCCATTATCTTTATGGGTCTGTTGTATTGTTCATATTTATCTATAAATTGAAATTCACTTTTCAAAAAAAAAAAAACCTCTGCTTGGTTTTATTTTCTGAAAGCTCAATTATAAAAACGTCTGTTTTCAGATAAGTTCTCTGAAAACTGTTTCCTGTTATCTGAATTTTTAAAAACTGTTTTCAGAATTACAAACCAAGCAAGCCCTAATGCTCTTTACAATTACACCATATAATGATTTTTTGAATACTTTTATATTATGTTTGAGGACGAATTGAAGTTTTAGATTTGAGATTAGAGAAAGTTTAGTCTTCAAAATCTGTGCTAAAATTTTTTCAATTTTAAATTTAAAGGGTCTAAAACAATAAATAAAAAATACAATTTCTCTCATACAAACCTTGATGGTGAGATAAATAAGGTTGTTAGCATATCCTTGTGTGTACCTGCAATAGATAAAATTAATCCATTTGTTTTGAGTAAGTCTTTATCTTAGTGGTAGAATACAATGTCATTAATTAAGGCCATAGAAAGAAAATTAAGTGACACAGAGAGGGTGTGTACCCAGCAATTTGATCATTGGACACCCAAGACCTCCATTCATCCACAATCTGATATCCAAGTGATCTGGTCCATGCTTCACTCCCAGTATGTGGAACACACATATCATGATCTCCACTGTAACCAAATTATATAAACATGTATCATCATGTTTGTGCATGAAAATGCATGACGTTCACAATTGGTATTCTACAAAAGAGAATGGTTTTCTTGTTCCAAACCTATAACCTTCATGTTATAATAGAACAATTTTACCAATCTGCTAAAACTCACACTCTAATACTACATACGGGTTGGACCAAAACTCGCCCTCACTGGTATTCCATATTTGTGTCTATGTTATTCCCTAGTCAATTGTGTATGCTTGCACTTCACTGAATTTTTTAAATTTTGAAACAACACAATTACCCTTCAACGTATAAATTAGAATACTTTTTCTATAATTGTAGATAGTGAAATAAAAAAAAAAAAACTGGAGTGCACAATATTTTGATATATATTTCAACTCAGATATAGTCTTTTATGTTACACGTGGTCATATATTATTTTACTCCATTTCAATTCACATCAATCTTAATTATGAAATAAAAAGATGAGTACTTAATTTACCTGAATATAAGTGCACGATAACCCTGCATGGTTAGGTTTTTGTGGAAGTTAATCATGCTTCCAGCATCACCATAGTAATATAGAGAGTTACATATGCTCCAAGCTCCACTTTCCTAATTTTTAACAAAAAGCAAGAGAAATTGGAGTAGTCATAAATTAAAAAGACTTCAATTTAGTTTTGAAGAAGAAGAAGTACTAAATGCAATAGAAATTAATTAGTACAAGAAATTAATTAGGAAGTGCACATACTGGACTTGCATGAATTGCTTTTCTAACTTCATCATTGTTCAGCCACACTGTTGCTATTGTATCATCCTGTATATATATATATATATAACCATAATTATATGATCGTTAATGTAGAGAGAAAAAGATTTTGATGCAAGGGAATGGAGATTTATTTTTCCCCTTTTTCGCAAGGGAATTCCGAAAAAGAAAATTAACTAAAAGGGTAAATTACGCTCACATCTGGTAATGGCCAAAGTAACTATTGAATCAATACTGTGTAGTTGGGTGCACCCAATGCACTATACATCAGGCTCAGACTAAGTAGTACATGTTATGCACGTACGGCTCGAATAAGCTGGTGCACTATGCACATAGCGCACCCAATATCTATTCATTTCGGAGGCGGTGAGTGCAATTTACCTTTGATATTAAAAACTTGACTCATCGAGAATATATATATTGAGAGAGATAGAGTAGTTACCACACAAGGAACACCACTGAGGTCCTCTGCCATTAACTGAGGCCAGGATTTCATAAGGCCAAATTTGACAGGTGCTCTGAAAGGCCATGCACGACCAAACATCCTTTTTCTCACTCCATCAGGCTTCTCACTATTATTTCCTAATTCCTTAAAGCTTGTTGGTAAGCTGCTTCTGCTTCCATTTACTTTTTTGTCTTTTCCACTTGGCATGCCACCATGGTAGCATGGCTCAAGGATGTCATATATGTTTAGACCAGCCAAAGCCTGCCAATCATATATATATATATATATATATATAGTCACCCAAAAAAACAAGTACAAAATTAATTAGACAATTACTTCATATATATATATATATATATATATATATATATATATATATATATAATAGAGTAATTTCTTACTATAAGAAAAGAAATGATACAGTACGTGTTAAAAACCCAGTTACAAATATTGTAAATGATACCTTATTTTTTGATCCAACAATACTTGCCTCTTACTTGTACGGAGGAACCTCCTCTAATTAACTGATAACTGATGTAACATAATGATAGTATGACACGTGTTAATTTGAAATTCATTAATATAAGAGAGGCAAAGTTACGATATTTTTTTTATTATTATTACATATTTTAAATTTAAAATAAGTCATGTGTCATTCTATCATTGTATCACTTTAACATCACGGAGGAGATTTATATTCACCAGTGTCCCAGAATTTTTTTTTTTTTTTTTTAAGTAATATACCCTATTAATTTACATTTTTGATACAAAATTACACTACCGTCTCCACTAAAATTATTTAAAAAATTACACTATTGCCCCCCTCAAATGCTACTATACATGTGTGTGGAAGTAAAAGAAAATGTGAAATAATTAAGCCAACTTACATTGTAGATTTTTTCCATTATATTTGCACACCTCGTACTGTTGTCCTCATAGTAGTTACCTTTGCAAGCCACTTCAGCCTCCTACAACAGTTTTATAACATTTTACTATCTTTGAAGCATATTTATAAATGCAAGAACTACAAAACTTGGAAACAAATTAATATTTGTATATAGTATATAGTATACAAAACTTGCATATATTAACATATGCACCAAACAAGTACATTAGATGTATACAGTATATATACATAGTTAAACCTCAGTTTCATCCTAAGTAGTCTCCCGTGGCATTTAAAATAATTTCTAATTGATTTTATATAGGAATGAGTCCGTTTGGTTCAGTTTTTAGAAATAGTTTAAAAAATACACATTTTTTAATTGACTTTTCGTAAAACAATTTGTAGAAAACAACAATCAAATAGAAAACAAAAAATTATTCTCAAAAAAATGAACCAAATATGCCCTTGATTGTTTAAGATGATCCATGCAACATTCAAATCATATATATATATATGTGTGTGTGTGTGTGTGTGTGTGTGTGTGTGTGTGTGTGTGTGTGTTTCAACCCACCTCAAACATAGCATCTGAGATTAGGCTCATTCCATGTGCAAATGGGACGAGAGCATTGCCATCAAATACTTCGTCAGTGACCCCATTTCCTACCATGTAACCCTGCACAATGTGATTCAAACCTCATTAAACCATTATGTGTGTGTGTGTGTGTGTGTGTGTGTGTGTGTGTATATATATAATTTTGAGTTGCCAAAGTCACAAACCTTGAAATTAATAAGGGGATTCACACCACTTTTGATTCCTGTCAATAAGGCCAATAAATGTTACACGAAAATTTAAACCTTGATCATACAACAAGAATGTGTCACTATATGTACGTGTGAGCATAAAATACCTTCTGCTACATTTGAAGCAAGAGTTGGCACATAAACTCCGGCATAAGACTCTCCGGAGATGTAAAATGGATTGGAAAGGAACTCCGGATATTGTTCAAACCACTATATATATAGTTTCAAAACAACAGAAATTTATTGGATTGAATTCATCTTCAACTTTATCTCTAAAAATTCGAGAATTAAAAGTTTTACCTTGAGGAGAAAAGCGTGTGTGTCTTTGGCTGTTTGTATGTCCCCAGTTCTGTATGCGGTGGTGTTTGGAGAGTAAGAAAAGCCAACACCAGCAGGGGAGTCCAAATAGATGATGTTGGAAACCTTGGGACAAGAATTCGAAAATCGAATACATGAGAGAATTTTAGATAATATGGGAAAGAAATTACATTTGGAAAAGTGAAATAAATATGAAATTATGAACTATTTTAGTTCAAGTCATTGTAAAACCTTAGACCAACTATATGGATTTAGATGTAAACTGGGCAGGCTTCCTTTAGATTTTCCAGCTTCAAAATTGAATGGTCCTGCAAAATAAATTAATAGTGTATTCCTTAGTAACAAACCATTCTCTTTGTAAATTCTTCTCAATTAATAAATTTGCTTTACCTTTCAAAAAAAATGAAGACGAAGAAGAAAGAATTGATGGAAAAAAGGAATCATAAACATTGATTTATATATATATATATATATATTGTTATAGTTTAATGTATTACAACAACAACAACAAAGCTTTTTTCCAATTATTTAGCAATTATTTAGGGTCGGCGGCTCCATGAATCACGTGTTATTATTTATGCTCTATTTAAAGTCATAGCTTTAGTCAATTCACATGCTATCAGGGACGGAGCTAGCTTAGGACAAGGGGGTATGTGCCCTCTGGACCCAGGTTGGTCCACTAAATTTTATATACATATAAGTATAAAATTTATAAAATATTACTTTGTGCCTTCCTGAATTTTATTTTTCTTTCTGAAAGACCCCTGAGCCTGAATTTTTTTTATACATATAGGTATACAATTTGCGAATTATTACTTTGTGTCCCCCTATATTAAATCATGGCTCTGTTCTTCCATGCTATTCAATCACTAACTCTACCTAAGTTAACTTTGATCTTCTTCCCTACCATTACCCTCAACAAATATGAATGGATGGATATATTGAGAATATTCCTACATTCATGTAACTTGATATATATGAGGTAATTCATGTGACTTGATACACAATGCAGATTGAGTGATTCAATGTATTTGCAAAAGGACCATTTGTTTTTGTTGCCACCCTTCCAAAGGACCACAACGCTATTTGGCATTTTAATATTGAGATAAAAGGGACCAAAAAAAAAGGGCCTAACCTATGAGACAAGGCATTTTTAGTGATCGAGTTTTAAATATTGCTTTATAACCAAGTTCATAAACAAACATAGATGATGATCAATTCAACATAGAAAGTGACATGAAAATAATCAATTCACTCACCTTTTAGAATATATATATATATATATAGAGAGAGAGAGAGAGAGAGAGAGAGAGAGCATTAAGAAGAAGTACCATGTTCATAAACAAATCCATCAAAGCTAGAGCACCCTGGTCCTCCATTGAGCCACAAAACAACAGGATCACTTGATGGGCTTCTTTCGGACGCAACGAAGTAGTAGAATAGATTCTTTGGTTCTGGATTCCCACCTATGGTGACAAACCTTCACATCCCAATTCACAAAAATCAACCACAAAAACACAGTGCTTAATTTTTATTTTTAATAGAATTAATATCGTATATATGCACGAGACATATATATACACACATATATATACGTACCCTGAGTAGTGCTTTGAAAGGAAATTGCCATTAAACCCTGGAAGGCTTGTAATCAGAGCAGCTTCAGGAGCTGCTTCAATCACACCAAAACACAAGAGCATCCAAAGTACTAAAACACTGTAAGAGATCGACTTTGCCATTGCTATTGCCAAACAAAGTCTGTAGGACTCCTCTTATAGAAAAAAAGAAATGAACTACAAAATAACTATGCAGTTTAAGATCTCTCTCTCACACACACACAGCTAAACAAGTAAAGACAATGGAGGGGAAGGAATTAACAAGAAAAGAGCTGTGATAAAAGCAACAAGGGAGCAGCTTGGATAAACCAAACAGGGAAGGACAGAGGAAAGAGGAACAAGAAAAGAAAGGAATGCAAAAGAAATAGAAAATTAAGAAAAGTTAGGGCATGATTTTTTTAAAAATGTATATTTGGCTGGCTAATGGATTGTCCTCTCTTCATCGATCTCCAATGATATGTGATTGCATTGACATATTAAGAAAAAAGGATCTTGTACTTTTGGGGTCCATATTTGCACCCATATTTAATACACTTTCTGATTTACTTTAAAATAAAAGGAAAATGATAAAAGCCCTAAAAATAGTATTGTCATAATGACAGACGTGTTCTTCTGTTTCACTACTAATTAAGAGTTTTTGTTGGACACTAATAATTAGAATAATCAAAAATGTATATATATATATAAATTCATGATTAGATTCGGTGATTTATTGTAAATGTTTGGACTTTTGACCCTATAATAATGAATAAATAAAAATGAAACTCCTATGTAATTCGATGTCCCATATTAGTAGTGGACCTTTTTTTTTTTTTTTTTTTTTTTTTTTTTTTAAAGAAGTCCTAAATTAGTGGTACATTTTAATAAGTCATCTATCCATAATTATCTTTTTAATTTTTCATAATTATCTTTTTAATTTTTTAAAAATCTTCTAACATAAGATTATATATATTTAAAATTAAAAGAACAATTTAATAATTTAAAAGAAGAACAACATTAATTAATGAGATGCCCTTAAAAATTTATAAATTCAAAAATGAACAATTAAGGAAGAGTATTAAGATGATTAATTCACATCTTTCATCAGTCATAATAAATAAATAATACTAAAAAGAACATGAAAGCAATTTCAGTTTTTAGTAAATTGCAGAGCGTTGAGAGGGAAATGATTGGCGTGAAGACCGAGGAAGGAAGTGCACGTGGGACCCATTAGTTTTTTCCCCACATAAAAAAGAAGAGTTCACCATACATACGAGTATAATATAGTAGTTTGTGTGTGTGTGTGCATGTATAATGAGTTTAGATCAAAGGCAGCCTTTTTGGAACGCAAATATTATTATTTGGACTTTGGAGATTGCAATATGTATTAGTATTTCATGAATCTAACATTCAATTATTTCGAAAATGTTAAATTTAAAAAAGTGAAACTCATTACTTCAAGAATACAACATATTAACCCAGAAAGAATGTAACACTTTTACTTCAAATTAAATGAAATTACATTTTTATGTAAATAGTATCACATTTTTTAAAATAATAATTTTACATTCTAATAATGTTTTAATGCACAAAAAATTACAAGAAGCGTGCATTTATTTATTTTTTATTGTTTTATTTTATTTTAGTGTTTTTTTGTTCTATTGTAGTGGAGGGAGTTGGACACCACCCTTTATATAAAATTGTTTATTGTTTCCTTTTTTGGTGGTGGAAGGTAGTTTAGGTGGTCCAAAGTCCCAACGACATTAATGGTCCCACCCATTTAGGTTAATTAATTCCTAATCACATAAGTCGTGGTCGTCCTCCTCGTCATCATCTCTCTACACACAGAAGTGCAATAATTTTAGGACAATATGCTCGCGTCCAATTCAAATTGGATGAATTTCATCCTACTTGCTAATGTGACTCAACAAATTAAAAATAAGTGTTCAAAAATAAAAGTTAAAATAAGTGTTCAAAAATAAAAGTTAAAATTAAGTTAGATATTGTCTAACTATTCAGGTTTAATTCAATCTAACTTGAGTTGGACACAAGCATTGTCCATAAATTTATTTATTCGGATCTTCATGTGATCATGCAAATAAGTCATGTGATCTTCATGCCTTGTATCAAATGCTTTCTGGATTTAAACTGGTTTCATTCAAAGAAGAAAAAATAACTTTTGCACGGAATCCAATGCTGGCTCCGTGTTAAATTACTTGCTGTTTGCATTGAGTTCCGTGCACCAAAACTCGAACTCTTAAATAACATTCCCTATTAAAAAGAGTAGTAATAATTTGAACCGAATACATTCGACCAACAACCCAACTTTAAAATTATTTTTCCGTTATCCCGTCATAAAATTTCAATTTTCTTGGGGATAATCACACTAATGTTGTACATGTCCCACGCTTGCCAATAATCATGTGAACTTTCAACATTACATTAAGCCATTATAAAATTCACCAGTATCATACATATAACACAAACATAATAACTGGTAAGATGCCTCCCGTTGGCTCTTGGAGCGCATGAGTTCGAGTCTTGACACCAACTAATCCTTAACATTTACCCTTCAAAAAAAAAAAAAAAAAAACCGATGCAACCTTTCTGAAAAAAGGCTTCAACTGCATTAATGTAGTCATATCCCCAAAAAACAAAAAAATAAAAAAGATAAATGGTAAAGGAAAAACTTGAACTCCGTAATTGACAACAGTATCTAAAAACCAATTATATATTAAAAAAGAAACCCTGAAAATAATGGCCTCAGTCAAATCTTTTCTAAACTAATAAATTCATCACTATGGAAATCCAAAAATAACACGGTTTTCGGCCATCTTTCTCATCCATTTATCTGTGAATTTGTATATCCGATACATCTACCTTCCGGGAGGAAAGTCGAAAGAGTAAAGTGGCATCAACAATATCATTTCTAAACACTCGTGGGCTTATGATAACTTGGGGTGGGCATCTTGTGACTGAAGCACAGTTAAATAAGATGAAGACATCAAAGAATGAAATCAACCACATTTTCAATGGACACAATGGATCCTTATCTATTCATTTCAACCTAACTCAGTGTATGAAATTGAGTAGGATAGCCAATAACAACAATACTAGAGTAGTCCTTCCTGCATTCAGAAAGCAAGCTGAAGAAAGATTGTGGGCACCTACGAGATACACAGCTCCAGTCTCTTCATCCTTCACTTGGATGCTCGATGAGCCTGAAAACAAAGATCAACAATTAATGTTTATGCAATGTTGAATTCATTGAATTGAAATCATTCTAAGTCGACTGAAACATCATTCACATTCAAGGACGTTGTCTTCTAACTATTATTTTGTTCCTAGTTGAAACTCACACCCTCTTTTGCTCATATTGGGAATTGACACCCAACCTTCTACTTTGAAAGATGAGGAAGCACCACTAGGCTACAGCCTTGGTGGTTTGTCTTCCAACTGTTTCCTAAAACTGAATGAGAAGCACATGCCCATTTTTTGTGTTTGGGTTTCGGATCAGTAAAAAAATCCGTGTACACACCATGTGAATACATGCTATGAAATGATAGAGCCACATTTTTTTCGTGCAACAGAATCTTCATCTACCTGCAATCATTAAAAATTTAACCAAGACACAAAAATCTCATTCACATTCAAGCACCTCGTATTCCAAGTTCACTCTTCTCCGTAACTGGAAGAAAAGCACCTTGTACTACTGCTAATGTTTCACTTTCCTATCCAATAACAATGAATTACTCACTACATAGCACATTATTTCCTAAGGGAAAACAGAATAAGAAGAAGAATCTCTCACTACCTAGCACTCATCCAAGACCAAGAAGATAGAAACACTCTACATCCTAATTTTAGGAACACAAGTATATCTGAAAACAGAAATGATACTCAAATTTATTTTTGGAAAACCAAAGAAGAAAATAGGGTTGTGCCATCAGTGAAGTGCAAATGCAATATAGAATCCAACTCCCAACAACCTACCAAAAGGCCAAAGGTCTTTCACTTTAACAGTGCCCTGAGCATATTCAGAACCATAGTCAATCAACTTTATATCAAAGATCAGAAACAACTGTTACAGTTTACCAGACAATATGAGAGCATATGGACTGATGGGTAAACACAACATACTCAAGAACATGGCTTAAGTTAACATGATCTGACAAAGATCTTTTCTTCTATGCAAAATAATCCAAGTGTTCTCCTCTGAACTTTCCATTAAACACCCTTCTACAAGATTCTCGAGTTTCCACGAAATATAAGAACCATCCCAAACCTTTATCATAACCTTCTCGAACAACTCTTTCTGTAAAGTTTGGAGCTTAGGTTTGTCAATTGAATTAAAAAAAAAAAAAAAAAAAATCACACCCCAGCATCAGTCAGGTAAGTCAGGACTCTGATGATTAACAAAGCGGCTTCAAGTTGACAAAAAAAAACACCATATTCAGCCACCCCAAAACAATAGGAGCCATCGGGAAAGATGATGAAGCCTTGACTGGTTTCAGCAATATTTTAGTTAGAAACATGACTTTCCACCAGAACTGTATTATCGTTCCAGAAGTCTTATGTGGCTAAACTTACTAAAAATTCCTTAAGTCTTTTATCTGAAATACAGCACACCCCTTTCAAAAATCTAGAAGTCACGCCATGGATTAACAGGTATAAGAGATTCTACCACTCAGTATATTTTCAGTATAGTTGAAGACACAGGAAAGTGCCAAAAAAGGTTCTGTAGAAGCTTATTAGCAGTTACTTGATGACAAGAACGACCAATACCACTTTTAATTATATAATGAGAATTTAACCTTAAAATTATTTTTCCCAATGCGTAGCGAGTAGTGTCAAACAAGAGAAGAAAAAAGTAGTTACGAAATCAACCGGCAATGCAGAAGTAACAGAACAGTAAATTGTACTCACAGTTGTATTTAGCCCATCCAATACTCTGCTTTTCGAGATCATACAAAACTAGCTTATTGGATAGAACAAAATCTGCAATTGGAAGCAATGAAAAAGGTCAAATAAAATTCACCACCTCTTTTTTCTTTTAATGCAAATTCAAAGATCAAGACATCAAACTTTGCACAATTATGACTAAGGACCTCCAACATTTTCAGTTCATACCTGGAGAGTGTTTAGTCAACTATACCAGATCTCAACAGGATGGCACACAGTGAAAACAGAAGAATATTGAGAAGTTATGGGAAATTTCTGCCAGGTATATTAACATGCTAGCAAAAACAAATTAGAACCTATTTCGTGATGAACCAGCTTAATTAAAAAGGATATTAACCTATTAGGCACATCATATCAAATGGCAGTTTCAATTATTTTAAAAAAAAAAAAAAAAAAACAAAAAACAAAAAACATGAGACTCAATAGACCTTCAAAGAGGACAGCCATACTTTACAAATTGTACACAATTGGTGAAATGGCAAGGAGAACGATACAATTACCCATATCACTGGGTCTTATACTCTTGTATCTAATACCTTCCATGTTGACAGAATTTTTGAAGAGGTCAGACCTTGATTACAAGTTTAAACCACATAACTAATAGAATGTTTCCAACAGTACATTTCAAGGCAGACAACCTCTTGCCATCAACAGGTCTCCAATAAATTTGGTATTGATTCATATAGGATTGACATTATTGTCAGAGGCAGTCAAAAGTAACTCCAAATTTAATTTTCATAGACTACTTGTAAAATTACCTCATATAAGTGTCATTAAAGCTTATTGATTCTGGTTCTGGTTTGGTCTCATTCACCATCTTACATAGACAAATTTAAAATGTTCGAATGTTTAAGTGAACACAACAGAAAAAAGCATATCATGAAAACTAGAGAGGCACAACGCTATTTTTTTTTTTGGTAAGTGAGAGGCACAACGCTATTAAAAGAGCACCCATCAAACAAAATCAATATATGCAACCAAAAGGGAGGGAAGGCCAGAATAAATAGTTCACTGTTAGTACAACAGATAATCAATTCTCCATACACTCAATGGATAGTAACAACGTCACAATACATTATAACAAAGATAAAGATGGTCAGGAAAATGTGTTCAAGAAAGAAAAAATGATAGAAGGAAGGGGGCAATAAATTGTTACAAAAAGAACTTAGCTCGAGTAATATCTCTAGGCTCTAACCACATCAAAAGGAGAAGATGTAAGGTTCAAGACTTCAAGTACCAACTCCCAATTAATAGATGGATGTGTATGTGTGCTGAACTTAATAGGGAAAAAAGAGAGAGAAGCCCAAACTGAGCAACCATTAAATACAGGACAGGAAAGAGAGAAGTGGGGTTGGGGGTGGTTGTGTGTGTGGGGGATTGCAGAACATGTGAGCAAAGGAAGAAATAATAAACAACATGGTCTGTATGTAACCAAACACCTAGCCAAAGATAAAAGGGATTGCAGGTCATGATTGGTGCAGTTTATCCGAAATACAAAGGGAATCATTGCTGAATTCACTGGAATTAAGAATTATTAACAATCGAAGACTTTACAATGATAGATTTTCTAATTTACTGAAGTTCTTAAATCTTAAACAATTTTAGCAAAACAAATTTTATGCTCGAATAATCACTAGTAGAAATTCCCAATGAAAATGACTAAAACACACAGGTTTTATAGGGATCTGATGAAACATTAATTTATTAGTGATGCAATAGTTCATAACATTAGTACTTGATCTATCACAATCTTGGATTGAGCATAATCTACATTGACCAACATGCAAATTCTGGAGTCAAGATTTTAAAAGGCTGTTAAAGTGTATAATAGCCAAATTCAATAATTACGAATAAAATTTGAATCGCACCGCCCAAAAGGGTCAATTCTTTTCCATCCTTTGACTGCATCCCGCTGTTCTGCCAACCAACACACCACACATCTCTCTGCAAAAAATGACAACCAAAAGATATAAATTGAAAAACCTTTAGAAGATATTAGGACAAGAAATAAGAAAATGAAGTATAATAAAAATAAAAAAAGGTAATGTTGACAATATTACGCGCCATGGAAATGTATGTCACCAAGAATATACCATTCTATAGGACATTTTATGTACAGATGTGAAGACGCTCGCCACTTCTAAACCAAAAAATATTCTCACCCAAACAAAAAGCCAAGGACATGACAATCATCTTACAGAACGTTTCCTAGTACTGTCCTTGATTTGTGTGGCTTTTAACTTTTCATGAATGCATTCATTTTTCACCCTCTTCTTCCATACCTAATCATGCATACCAACATCATGTAATTATCTATAGCCATCGCTAGGCACTTCATCTCTTAACTACCCTGCATTCCATACCCCAAAATGTGGCTAACCTAAATTCTCAAAGCCTTGGTATTCTCTACTATAAAATATGTTTATATGGTTGTTCTCATATATTAACAGTCTTAAAAATGCCTTGAATTCCAACTAATTGATGTTGACTGCATGAATTCTTATTTATGGTTCAACTCTATTAGAACCCATAATTTATGTTCAACTGAAATTCATTTCTATGCCCTCATCCTGCTTTCATTTTAGCCTCTCTTATCCATGCATTGCCTCTTAATCTTTTAGCTGACTCAAGTCAAATCAAATCACTTCTCCAAAGAAGTGCCTTCATGGGTCATGCACAGACCATAAATAAATCACAGACAACTTCCTCGCAACTTATTGTAAATTAGTGCCCTCTCTAGCAATTCATCAGTGCAGTCATTTTAATTTCTTTTCCTTTTCTTTGAGTTATTGTTTATCCATTTCATCACCTTCCTTTCAAGACGATCATTCTGTAAATTAGTCCTTTGTGATTCCGATGGCAGCGACTAGATCAACGCAGTATTGCTTCAAGAGAAACTCCCATCAAAGTTCACTATGAATCTTTGAAAGAAAAAAAGTATAGTAGGATCAAACAATCTAGATACTTTTACCTGACTTAGTAGGACTGGTTGCACAAAATTTCATAACCACCTTGCTACTTATCCATCTTGTTCTAATTTTATGCAATGTCTGGGGGGACCATGTGGCCTTACTATTCAACAAACTGCTGGACCAACCAGTAGAATTTGGTTGACGTTGTTTAACTTGTTTCTCACTCCTCTTGATTTAAAGAGATCATTTTTTTTTGAAGGGTATCTTAGAAGTGATTTAGTACAATTATTTTGATTATTATGGGTTCAAGTGCTTTTCTTGTTTGAAATTAGTTAAATTTCTCTTTGGAATCCTTCAGCCATCAGCAGTTGCTAAATCTGAAAATTTCTCACTTTCAGCAATGATATTATTTGAATAAGTCCTCAAAAGAAAATTCAGTAAATTTTGATCAATTTAATGGTGAGAATTCATTAATCTCTTCTTGGTATATATTTTATCTTTTGTTTGTTTTCAACATTATTGTGCACACTTAATAACCACAGCCTGAAGTTAACTTTTTCCTAAAACCACAACACTCTGGTCATGTACAGTGGCCCTAATTCACGTCAAAGTTCTAGCATTTCAATCATTTAATTCCTTCTTGCCAATAAGCTCCAACAAACAATTGCTTTGATTCTAAATCAAACTAAACTTGGACTCACTCATTGGGCAAGTCCTGACGCCTTCGTTACAACTTACATGGGCTCTCCTATTTTTCTTCATGCACCAGTTTTGAATAGGATACGTGTCCGACACATGAACTCAAATCGGACACTTCGATCCTTCACATAAGAAAAAAAAAAATCAAATTAAATAGCAGAACTGAGATCCACCACATCCCATCTAATTTGAGTATTAATTGAGTATATTCTTATAAAACAACATTAAAAATAACACTATAGTAAAAATATATAGTGTATTTAAATGCATAGAGCATGTCCATGTACCCATATCTAGCTTTGAGACACATACCCGTATCTTGTGTTGGGAGAAGATCATAGGAGTGATTTAAGCTTTGATAGAATATTAGAATATTGATAGGAGTGATTTATTGGATTGATTTTAGAAAACCTCCATCAATGTATTTTCAATATTTATCATTAGTATTCTTTCACCTATAAATAGAAGTGGTCATTGTAAACCAAACTGAGAAAGAATAAAATAAAGGGAAAATTATATTTTAGAGACTCCTAAAAAATATTTGCTTAATAGTGACCATAAAGTCAAAAAATAATAATAATAAAATAAAAATAAAAAGATTAATAGTGACCAAATCTAAAACTTAAATGCTAATGAGTGACCATTTAATCTTCTATTACATAAATGTCCTTAAAATAAATTATTTTATAATTAGACAAATTTACTCCTTCGTTCTTTTTTCGGCCTGTAGCTCAAGTTTGTGAAAGGCATGAGAAAACTATGTTCACAGCCTTCAGTTCTATTGTTAGCAGATTTCCAATCAAGACTTTTAAGTAGTTTTAAGTGGCCTACAATTGTAGACATTGTTCCAGTGAATTGATTGTGTGCTAGTTCTAATGAAATGAGCATGGAAGAATTGGACGTATATATTTTTTTGTTTTTTTAAATAAGTCGAATGGAGATGTTAAATAGAGAATCAGAGGTGTGGTACCGATGTGAAATATTATCACCCAAGATATGACTTGAACCTGTCTGCTTAATTTAAAAAAAAAAAAAAAAAAAAAAAAACAGAAGAAATTTGTAAACTTGCCGGGTAAGAGAAAAACAAACCCAACAAAACCCTAATCTCTCTGATCAGACATGGCCTCCCCAAAGAATGCGACAACTTCAAAGCCAGGTAAGGGAGGGAGGGAGCAGGGATGGAGACCTCCAGGCCATGCCATGGGGCGGTGGCTGTGGTTGCTATGGTGTGGGGATTGACGTAGAAGATAAGGTGAGGGCTGCTTCGCGGTGGATGTTGTGCCACCGAACATAGAGGAAGTACCAGATGATGATAGGACTAATATTGAAACACAAGTATTTGTTACCCATAGAGAGAAAGGGCCGAGGATGGAGATTAGAGTATTCATGTTCAGTGCTCCTTGCGAGGTCACTTATTACTATTTAAGTTTTAGATTTTGTCACTATTTATCTTTTCTTAATTTTGTGGTCATTGCAGAGAAATTTTATTTAGGTTAGGTCACTTAAATCTAATTTTCCCTATGATAAAAGTGATGTAGCCCTTTGGGCTTTGCATGCCGTGGATGTAGATTGTAGTGACCGAACCACCTATATCTTTATGTTCTTTCATTCTTAATTTCTCTCTTCAATCTTTTTTCTTTTTTTTTTTTATCAACATGGTACTAGAGTAGGTTTATCATACCCTACTCTAGACTGTCTCAGATGTTCATATCTACTCGTCTTAGATCTTCAGAACTACTCGTCTCAGATATCATGATCAACTCATCTTGGATCTTCAAATCAATTCATCTCGGTTCTCAAGATCAACTCATCTCAGATCTTCAAATATCCATACCAACTCGTCTCGAATATCCGGATCTACTCGTCTCGAATATTCACAACTTCGTATGTAATTTCAAGTTAGAAACTTGAGTTAAAATTTCCGTCTACCAACTTGAGAGGGGGTGTCGGGAGAATATCATAGGAGTGATTAAGCCTTGATAGCAATGATTTATGGGATTGATTTTAGGAATCCTCCATCAATGTATTTTCCATATTTATCACCCGTATTATTTCACTTATAAATAGAGGTGGTTATTGCAAACAAAACTAGGAGAGAATATAATAAAAGTAATGCACCCCTTTGGGCTTTGTATGCTGTGGATTCAGGCCATAGTGGCCGAACCACGTATATCCTTATGTTTTTCATTCTTAACTTCTATCTTCAATCTTCTGTATATATTTTTTTTTACCACTATTAAGATTTGGGGGTTTGACGAGGTCTATCTTAGACACACACCCGCACCCGATAAACTTACCCAAGTCTGGGTAACATAGCCTAAAGCTAACCAAGCTACATTTACAATAGCATTTCCCCATTGAAATTTATAGATTTCATTGCAGTAGCCATTACCACAACTTTAAACCAAGCAAGAAAATTTTAATACAGTATAACAAGAACCTAGTACTGACATAAACATGACCTTGTTACCATTAGATATTTCACAAGCCTTGAAGTCACATGCATAATTTATTAAATTAATTGTGAATATTGTGCAATACTACACGCTCAAGCACTTCTGAGAACGAACATGTTACTGGATCACGGGGAAAAAAAAGTAGGATTTTCATTAAGTTCTGAAACACAAATTACTTACTTGAATTTGGAACAAATACTCATGAGGATAAACTGTCAAAGAAAGTGAATTCTCAAAATGAAAAGTGACATCTGGAAATCCATCATCAACACTGCAAGAGAACAGGAAAACGCAAAACAAGTAGAATCTTCAGCTCATAATTGCACCAAATGATTTAAATTGCATTCAGAGAAAACTTGTGTTCAATAGTAAAATACAGTCAATAATGATACTCTGGTTTAATATACATTCAACAACTTCGAATTTTTTGGATGAGCAATATCAATGCCTGATGCTCCATCAACTGATATGCCAAAACAGACTATCAGTTTATAATGGACTTTCCTTGTTCTGTTCTGTAATTCTTCATTGTTTCCACTCTTTTTTGTTGGGTTTCGGGTAGAGATTATAGATCTATTGAGAACATTGTTGATTTTGTGGCCTCTTTAAGGCTTAGTGGTTTTTGCTTTTTGTTGTTCCTTTGGGATGTGCTCCCCTTTTGAGCCTTTTTTTTATACAATTCTTACTTATCAAAAAAAAAAATGGACTTTCCTTGTTTGGTTCTTCTGATAAAAAAAAACCACTGCTACATTAAAAGAAAAAAGAAACAGCCCTTTTACCATCAAAATTTCTTCTTACTTAAAAGGAATCTAATATCGATAGAAAAACTACAAATTCTTGCTTACCACAATCAGAAAAAACTCAAATTTAAGAGCAGAGACAAGTTTCCTATCTGTGAGATAGACGGAAACCCTTTTCTTATACCACATCCCATTTAATTTGAGTAATAGTTGAGTATATTCTTATAAATAACAAAAAAATGACATTAAATCAAAATAAAACATATAATGTTCTTACATGTGTAGTACATCTCCACATACCCATATCCAACATCTGGACACATGTCCCTGTACCCTAAGAATGATTTGCTGTACTACTATGGAGGGAAAACTTCTCAACACTACCAGATTTTCATGAAATTGAACATAAAATTTACAAAACTATGATACAAAATTCAACCGTTAATGCATACATAGCCTTTGGACTGAAACATTACTACTGCCCACTAATTGTACCATTTGTACTACCTTTTGGATATAGGTGCACTAATTTTACTAATCTCAGGAATTGGATAAAAAGACAATTTTGGTAGTGGTTGCGAATTGACAAGGTCTAGTTGAAAGTGAAACCTTCAAGAAGATACTCGAGCGATAGCAGTTTTAGTAGTAATCATTCCATTAATTCATTACCCTTATTAAGAGCACGTTACTTATTTCCTAGTCACACTTCTCCCAGTTATCTTCGAGTATTCTCTACTTTCACTTTACTGCAAGATTTATAAGTTCGCAAAATACAATTGCAAATAGTGTTCTTCATCCAATAATAAATGCCAGCGCATATGCTAAAATATTCAAGAAAATATTCTCATGCACCTGAATTACACCAAAGGGAAATCCATTCTACAAGTAAGCCAGAGTTATATTTCCAAACACCAATGCCTTTCTTGGTCAATGGAACAGACACACGACAGGTTAAAAACCTGAACCCTATAACCATGCAAATGAAAAACCAATACCGAAATTTTTAATGCTAATCAATTTATTATTATAAGCATAATAACCTTCAGAAACTACGTAAAGAACACATTTCTTCAAACAGAAAAAATAGCATGTGGTAAGGGTGCTTACTTGCCAGCATACTGAAAGCATGTGAACTGTTCCTCCACAGTATGAAGTTTCAAATTAAGTTCCGGGACCAAAACCTAATTAAAAGGGATAAGAAATTATTATATGCAAGTATTTTGCAAACAAACTTCAAATGAAGGAGTTTTGAATTCCCCAAATACCTTTCTCATTAGTGGGTCAAACACCTCCCTTGGAAGATAAGCCAAGGTTGTGCCACTGTCAATTATAGTCCCTTTCCCCGATTCAGTGTCAAATACATCTGTGGGAAGGTCTAGAACATCACCACCCACCTCAATTGCCTTCATAATAACATTGTAATGTGCCCTAATATGGTAACAAAACCAAAATTAAGACGAGTCTCAGATGAATAACAGACCAAATTAAAGAAATAAAAGCAAGAACTCATGTAAGAAAAGAATGCCACACAATAGCAAATCTATTGTATTATTCATGAATTTAACATAATGAAAAAGAAAAAATACAAACACAAAATAAATATCTATATGTATAAAGTAATATTTTATATACATATGTAGTCGAGATTCAAGAAAATAATTTTCTCATGTGTTTGTATATGTGTATACTATATAGGTCAAGACCAAGCACGAGTTGTTAGTATTTAGTGTGTTAAAAGCTGAAGAAAGTGTGCACTACCACAAAGGACTCAACCCAAACATGCAGTATTTTCGTCTAATGCCTTGACTTATATATGAGAAAAAGATGAAAAAGAGAGATTCTTGACCCTAAAATAAAAAAAAACAATAATTAAATAATATAATTCTAAACTAATTCCCCATAGAGCACGCCTCTCAACGAAATAAACTACTTCAGAATTAGATGATCTATTGATCCAAGGAAAAAAAAAAAAAAAAAAAAAAACTTATTTCCAGAAAAATCTATGAACATGTTGAAAATATTTCCTTAACCCTCCAATTCCATCAGTACCCTGACTGACAAACACGTTAAAGCAAGCAGTTTCACATGTAAATTGACAGAGTTACATTGTTTTGCCTCATTTTACCAAAAGCAAAGGGAGATAATATATGTGACATAACTTCTCAAGTAAAAGCAGTCTACAGACATTGAGCAGAAAATATTCCCAATGATCTCATAATACCCTCTTATACCATGTCGAAAAACACCCAAAGATTAACTATCAAATTTATCTAGACCATGTACAAGAAGAGGACTCTAAGGGTGATCAATAAGGAAACACCTAGACGCTGACGGAGGAGTTCCATTTTGAAGCTCAAAGTCCATAGAGACGACCATGACATGCTGTCCCTGAGGAATCAGTTGTCTCATTATCCAATTCTGTCATCTCAGATGAACAAGAGGCAACAAAGTTATTGTTCCACGATAATCTACTTGAGAAACCCCCTAAAACCAGGAAAAGGAAAGGAGAAATGAATTATGTACACATCCCCCCATGGAACACAAGCATAACCACTAAACAGGAGCTACAACACTGAGCAATCAGGGATCCATTCAATGAATAAGAAGTTTTTGATCTCTCGAAGATTCCACATCATGCACGAACTTGGTTGAGATACCAGGCTTGGGTATATGTGTATAAGAGCTATATATTCATATAATCCCCTAATCCAACTAAATAGACTGAGGTTATATAGACAAAAATGTTAAATAACTTTTCTCATCTATTGCCATGTAAAATATATTGTCTTTAACTCGGTTGCTTCACTTCTTCCAAAGCAATAAAGTGAGAAAGACATCAAGAAAGAATTCCATGGAAATACCTAGTTATTTTGAAGTATAGCCCTGTCTTCTGTTGCTGTAAATACATACTTGTATTGAAATGTTTAAGGAGCAACAATGCAAGGACATATGGTATTGTAAGCTATACTATAACTACTGTAGAATCAGAAAATAGGCTCATTTGCTGATAAATTGTGCACCCAAGTTCTTCCCATACAAGAAGAAACCACAATACACCAACAAGTCAAAAATGCCGTCATACCTTGTCAGTAATCAACCTGCTTCAGCATCATATTTTGCTGTCTTGATTTGTTTCTTATTTCTCAAGATTACTTAATTCCCTCTGAAAAGAGTGTGAATAAGAGATTCAAGTTATTTCTAGAAATAAATGCATAATCTACAGAAACGACATGTAGACATCTACAACTTATCTCACCATAACCCATCTGCATATGCATTCTAGTCACTAATATCTCAATTCTCATACAACCATGATCAGTTGTGTAACCTTTTCCAGATCCACTTCTTTTATTGAACTTCAGTATTGCAAGATTATTGCATGAGTGTCAAAACTCACAAAGTTGTATTGGCACTTATTGGATAATACGAGAATGCAGAAGGCAACAGAGTGGGAGCACACTGCATCTTCTGTGTGGAGGCCACAAAACTATCAGTGTCACAGGACAACTGTAATAGCAGTGCACATGCTCCTCCTCTGTCATTTAGGCACAAAAGAAGAAAAAACTCAAGTCTAGAAATGCAGCAGGTTTGACTTGTTGCTTAAACTGCCACAAACTATTGAAAAAGTTTAAAAAATAACCACACTACTATAAGAAAGAAAACAGATCTGCTCTCAAAATTTGCTGATGGCAATTTTCTCCAGAAAGAGAGAACAAACATGAAGCACTAGGATAAGTGGACATTAAATTTTTTTCCCCCCTCCCTCTCTTTCTTTTCTTTCTTCTTTTTTATCTTTTTTTGTAAAAGGGATGGTAGACCATTACCTCAATCTCCTCCAATGTATCATAAATATAATGCATATATGCGGCCATTGGAATTAATTTCAAGCTGATTAAAAAGCAAATCACATAAAAGAGGACATTATTCAATGTGTCACCATTGATCAAGGCTGCAGGAAGGAGTGGATTGGTATACACCTAACGTTTGACGCTATTTGCACAAAGTTAAAAACTTGAACCCATATTATCACATTTAGTGGTCCAAATTTTTACCATTGCAACCAAAAAAAGGCTCTAAGAAAGAATAAAAGGATAGACAGAAACGAAAAGATTAAAAGAAATCAGAGATAAGTACGAAAAGAAAGATTATATGAGAAAAGATTAAACCATGAATTACAAGCAATCTTCAACTCAAATCATCAATGCTGAACTAAACCATTATCATCAAAAAGATGCCAGTAATTTTTAAGGACATTATAATTGTAATTAAAACAAACACTATCAAATTTGTAAAATAATCCAAATTGTCACCAATATATAAGAAATCAAAATATGACATCGCTTACTGATTTGGGACCAATGGAGTTGAATTTAGTTTTGGCTGCACCACTTCTCCAATAGCAAAGATTCCCCCTCCTTTATTACCGTCCAAGCAATGTGCAAACATTTTTTTCACCTTTCCAGCTGCAGCTAGCTGCGAAATCATGGACGAATTTGCTTGACCAAAACCTAAAATTCCATCAAGCGCTTCAGAAGATGAACCTAGCTCCCCAGATTGTCTAGCTCCACACCTATCTTGGACCACAAAAATATATAAACCACAGAAGCAACATGACAGAAGTGATTGTAATTAAGTGGATCATTTTTCAGAACAGACTAAGCCTGAGAAAGAACAACAGATGAAGACCTGGAAATGAAGAGCTTAATACATGTTTAGGAACAAATAACCATGAGAAAAAAGATACTCCCTACGTCCCATATTAGTTGTCCACTATAGTTATTGTAACTTTTTAAGGGAACATGCAATTAATGCATTGTACCCTTTAAAATTACCAAGTTGTTTTTTTAGTTTAATTATGTATATTACTAAGTTGAGAGATTTTTGAAAACTTAAAGGGCAATTATGCAAAGATGGCATGTTTTTGCTTTGACTTTTCAAATGGGACAACTAATTTGGGATCCCTAAAAGGAAAGAGGGGCTACTAATATGGGACAGAGTGCATACAATATAAGGACAACAACAGGAACGGATCGAACGCAATATAGACATCATCCAGCAGACTAAAACTCATCCAGTGCATCGTTTATATTGTTCTTTACAGGAAACAAGTACCACAAATAATTTATGGTGCCATGATTAACACATAGCCACAAATAATTAGGTCAACCACCACAATTTAGTTACAGAAAGAAAATAAATAAATAAATGGGTAAGCAATCACTAAAATTTGCTGAAGATATATCAACTTTAGTAAATATAAAAACAGTCCTTGGTGAAAAAACTCGCATACAAACCTAATTTATGGTAATTTTAATCTTTTTTTAACAACAAATCTTGTAACCAAGATCATAATTTGTGTGTTATTAGTTGGAGTATCTGAGATCAAGATTACTCTAAAGCCAAATACTGAGGAATTTGGCAAAAAATATGGATATGTTTGTAGAAGAATTCCACATACATGGTGTATGCAACATTTGCATAAATGGTACCTCAATCCTGACTATACTCGCCTGGTAAGGTTAATTATGATGAAGCCAAGAAGCATGCCTTTCACAAGTTACTCAGGATAAGGAGGAAGTCATTGCTGGATATCGACAGTTCTTACACCCAAAAAGGAAGATTCTTGTTGTAACAACATAAAGGTTGAGGATAGTTTTAATTCCTAATTAAAAAATATCTTATACATGCTAGTATACTCAAAGCCACTAAAAAATGGATCACAGAAGTTTGTATTAAATGCAAACAAACCTAGCAACAAATGGAAGACAACCTCAAAGAAATGGTAAGGCTTCTACGGTGTTAATAAGCATGCAGACAGGTCATGAGCAGGACAATTAATCTAGTCCCTACGAGGTAGTTTGGTTATTTGATGCATATACCAATTATTTACATCTGGAAAATGGTTATATGATATTACACTACACTCTTAAAGCAGAATTGTGAACTCACCCAAAGGCAACTGTTCCATTCATCGACATAGTTTGAAGGTTTCCAGTCACTTTGTCTAATAGTACACGATCTTTGACAAAGTATCCTGCAGTTGAGCTCCCATCTCCATAAGTAACACTATACTGACAGAGTGTTCCAACCTTGCAACCAGAGATAGGAGCTTCAAATGCAGTGTTGCAAAAATCTTCATCACAAGTAACCATATTCCCTGTTGAAGAGCCCTTTGGGTCGTACAGTCTCAATTTTATCTGCAGTACAATAACATGATAAACAATTCATCTTTTTTCACATTTTCAGGAATCATGACGAAAGTTATAACAGATACTAGTCAAAAATGATTAAATTCAAGACATGAAGTAATAAGAACTCATACACCAATGTCGCTTTTCGTAGGACACTTGTCACAGCCAACACAATTAACCCATAGAATGTCACTTCCCGTATCCACCTGCACGTAATAGTCTTTCGATGGAGTCCCGATGCCAATCTTAGAGAAATATAGCCTAAATTCAATCAACCATATACACCAAATGAAAACACATAATTACAGGTAACCAATGCACACATTTTGAATTTATCAACAGAACACTAGAAATAACTTGAAAATAATACATGTACTATAATCCAAGACTTCCTTTTTCTATTTCTAACTGGAACAATAGCAAACATTTAAATTCAAAAACAATACATGCTCTTCACTTTTCCTCTGAACTAAAGCAATCAAAGAAAGAATTAAGGAGATATATATATATATATATATATATATATATATATATATATATATAAAACCCAGACTCCGGCTGTAGAAATTTAACGGAAAATGAAAAGGGTTATTGGATCTACACATGTAAGTCAAATATATACATATATAACATCAAAAGAATACTTAGACTAACTAAAATAACAAAATTGACAATTATAGGACAAAATAAATGAGAATTCAATAAAGGGGTATAATTATAGAGAGAACTGACGCTGTATCAGTGGGATGACCATTGCCGCCCAAGGGGAGATCGACGGCCGAGAGAATTCTCCGGTGTCGGTGGGCATCATGGGCCTTGAGTGCACCCAATGAACTCTCACGCCGCGCAAATTTGTGCTGCACGTTGAACACTATGTTGGCCGACACAAAAATTGAAGCCAAACCCAGTTGCAGCACAAACACAATCAACACACCCAACCTTCCTATTTTGAGATCCATCATAAATACATATAATACCTATATGTATGTATGTGTGTATACAAATATATATATATATATAGACAGATGTATAATTCAAAAACCAACAATGAATTGTATCTGAATCAAATCTTGGTGAAATTAATTCTTAGTTTTAGGTTTCAAAAAGTGGAGAGAGAAGAGAAAATATTCGAAGAGGAGAGAGACGAGGAAGATGAAACAGAGAGAGAGAGAGAGAGTTGGGAGGAATAGACCTTACGCGTTTCAACTTTCAACTACAAACAAAGAATGAAATTATATATATACTCCGTGTGTGTGTATATATATATATGTATATATACAGTTACTAATGGGATTAATCTGAGTGGTAGTGTGGATCTGGAAGCAAAGGATATATATATATATAGAGCTGGTTTAAACTCTGTACGGTGCTCAGAATGATCTGACTGGGACTATAGTATATCTTATTAGATCCACCAGAAGACTCTTGAGTTCTGTTTGGTCGGACGGAAAGTGTGGGAAATGAATATTTTAGTCAATTTGTAAAGAAAGAGGAAAGAAAATCTATTTGAAGAGAAATAATTTTTGGCTTGGTCCTTTTCCCCAAATAGAGTCCAAGGGCTTTGAGAGTTGTAACTCCTCCTTTCGTGGGTCCGATTCGAAATATGCTTTTTGTGTTTTTTTTTTTTTTTTGTTTTTTTGCTAAAATAAAAATAATGTTTTTGTTATAAGTATGTTTTGAAAAAAAATAAGATTGTTTTTTTGCCTGTGTTGAGCTACTATTATGATTTTGGACCATTAACAATTGTAAAAACTAAAAACAATAAAAAATAACTTTTTTTTATGTTTTGGTTTTGAGTCACTTGTTCACGAAGTATTTTAGCACTGTGTGAAATAAAATAAAATTGCACCAAATATGCTTTTGTTGCCAAAATCACCAACCTAAAAACAAATACAACAGAAACAAAATGCATGCCAAACAAGCCTCAAGCTTAAACCTGGCTTATTATGATTTTGTTGGGTTTGACTCCACTCAATTTGAATTTGCTTTCAAAATCATTATGTTTATCGAACATCTATGAGTTCATATTCACTATTTTTAATGAGTTGAGTTCAATATTATTCAAAGTCAGTTAGTTTAGTCAACTAGCCTATAAATTGTGTTCAATTTATTTGGCCAACGAAGGAGTCCAAATCGAGCCAAAAACTATTTATGAACAGTTGATTTGGCGGGTATTTAATAACTAGTATCGTATATTTTCCCGTATTTCACATATTAAAATGTTTCATGATTCAAAGAACCAAAACACATGCCAAATGAAAAACTTCTTTGTTTTTTTTTTGATTGGTACTTACACACATATTTCTACTAAGGCTCAAATTCCTGAATTCCTTTTAAAAAATAGGAACTAGGTCACTGGCCTATTAGTTGTCTAATGAAAAACTTACCAAACAAACAAATATATATATATATATATATATATATATATATATATATATACTGTTAAGACTGATGATGCCTGCAGAAAGTTTAAGTACAGATTTTGATTTATGAAATGTCAAAGAGTTAGGGAACACAAATCTGTTATTCCATTCCGTTTGAAAGTTGAAACAATAATGAACTCATCAAATTCTAAAATTTAATTATAAAATGCCGATTGGAATATATACTTTGAATTGTTATAAAGGAAAAGTGATGAAACTTTAAAGAGAGAATCAATGCATTAATTGCAAGGTAAATCAAAATTACTTCAAACTCATTTAGAGGGAATTAAAACTTTCATGTGAAAAAACAAAAAGTACATTTCAATCAATACGTGGCACACACATACATTAATGCATGTATTTAATGCATTTATAACTTATAAAATGCAACTTTCGGATAGGAGAAAAAATTTTGTGTGTTCATCTCACGCTTTAATGAATATATTCAATTATTTATTATTATATGTGTAATATACGTATATCACCGTTACAACCGTGGCCAAAGTTTTTCTCAACAAAGGGTGATATGGTTAGGATGATATGGTTAGGAAGATGAGGATTTGCGTGAGAGAAATTAAAAGACATGTCGATATACGTGACAGCCATGAAAGTAAACGTATTTGTAGGCACTAGCAAAGTCTAATGATGTCTAAACTCTACTTTTAAGATTTTATAATGTCAATGATTCTTGGTCTTTGACAGATAAAGAAAGTTCTACAAAAGGGAGAATTTTGGTTTGAGTTGCATACTTTAACTAATATATGTATTTTAGTTATATTCTCCTTTCTTTTTTCTTTGTTTTTTTTTAAGTCAAGAAATACTTTTTAAGGGAATTGTATAAATACTCCACTTTCTACTTGACTAGCATTTTTCAAAAAACGCTCTAAAAAATGGAATTGTAAATATGTGAAATTTATTATTTTGAAATATTCTAATTTTATAAGTAAATAATTATTATTTTTCAAATAACACACTTGTTTTTTCAAATTTTCTCTCTTTGTTTCTAATCTTTAATATTTTATATAAATACCCCACCTTTCCCTTTCTCAGGCAATGTAGGATTGTGCACCGGTGTGATAGCTTGTCAGTGTCTCGCACCCATCCACGGCACAGTCATCACAATCCACCTCCCTGGAAGCCCGATGTCCCCGTCGGTCAGGCTCTGATACCATTTGTAAGGACCCACTCCACCACATGGTATGATATTGTCCGCTTTGGACCTGCGACCGCGCGGTTTTGCTCTTGAGCTTTACCCCAAAAAGCCTCATACTAATTGGAGTGACACGCTTACATATAATTACTTCACCTTTCTCTTTCCCAGAGGATGTGAGATTGTGCATCTGTAACTCGCCAGTGTGGTAGCCTATCAGTATCTCGCACCCGTCCACGGCACACCCGCCCATAAGGTCATCACAATTTAAGTCTTTTTTGACACACACACAAAAAAAAAAAAAAAAAAGTTTTCCCTGTTGAATAATAATTTTTTTTACAGGACTTAAAAAAAAAAAAAAAAATTTATTTAGAGAGAGGCTATTTTTTTATATATCATGTCCATAGTAATCGAGTTATATTGAAGTCCAATTTATTGGACCTAGTGGATGTTGAGAAAACAAAAAAAGACAAATCAGGTATTGATGGAACCAATACCAGAAGCTAGTGAGACAAACACCTACCGCCGGCTTAGAGAAACCAAAAAAAAAAACAAAAAGTTCGTTGTGAAAGAGACAGGTCTTGTTTTTGTCAAGTACTACATTAAATAAAAACATTGTTACATTGTGAAAGATGATCAAAATCGCACCAAGAACACTTACAATGCTATCGATAAGAACGATAAGCTATCCACCTCTTGCTTTTAAAAAAACCAATGATCACTTAAAAATGCAGACAATAAATCCCACAAAAAATTATTAAGTACTATATTATTTTTTTCATACTTTAAAATAAAAATTATATAGACCCTAATAGTGAAAATATAAATCCTAACATCACTTAGAAGTTCAGGAGATAAATCTCACGAAAAACTCTCACAATGCTATTTATAAGAAATGTACTATCCACTTTTTACTTTAAAAACAATAATGATCTACGGACCTAGTAATTATAAGTTATATATCCAAACCAATTATTTGAAATTTCCAGAAGTACAATTTGTTTCGCGTTTCTGGAGGTAGCCTTTGGGTATCTGTGACTTGCGTTGAAAGAAATATGACATGAATATTGAAAATTTTAATCTGGCACTAGTAATTTAGAGTCCGTCATAGATTCATGTTTCTGTTTCTATGAGATGATATTCCATCACTCTTCAAAAGTACCTGTAGTTCAACCTTAAGAAATATATTCATAAGAAGTTTAAAATCATTGTATAAGTTTATCTATGGTCGATTTGGTTAAATGAAAAATGAAAGTGGCATGCTTTTCATTAGCTTTACAAAATATTATAAATTTGTGAAAAAAATATCATTTCATGATTTAGATAGTATAAAAATTACAAGAAAATATATTATTTTGTCTAAATTGTCCTTATTTTTATTAAATAAGGAGATGATTAATGAAGGAAAAATGAAAAATTAAGGGCCCGTTTGGCAATCACATTTGTTTTGTGCTTTTGCTTTGACTCGAAGCAGAAACAATGTTTTCGCTTTAGAGTGTGTTCAATATTATTTCGAAATTTGTTTGGTAACATAAATTTGTTACAAGATTTTTAAAAGCAAAAACATGAGAGCATATTTGGTAAAAAGTGTTCTAAGTTCGAAAATTTGAATGGCTAGTTAAAAATGTTAATTTAAAAGGAAAAAAATAAAAAAAAAAAAATCATTCCATCAACAAAAGAAAAAAAAACACGAAACATTGTTGTATCAAACAAGCTTGACGAGGAGGGAAGGCTAACATCATTCCATCAACAAAATGTTGCACCCCAAGGTTATCTTAATTAGATAGCAAACGAATCTTCTAAATGTCAAAACATTCTAAATTTATCTACACTTATGTTAGGTATTGTTTTTACACAAAACAGTCGCTGGATTCATGGACCTTAAAAATATCATGTTAGATATTGTTTTGAAGTATTGAAATTATGTAGATTTGAATAAAATACTTTGGATTTCTCGAATTGTTTGTAATCTATATTAGATATTGGATTCATATTCACGGATATTGTTTGTACATATGTTAGAATATAGATATTGTTTCAAAGTACGGAACAATTTTTCAACAGTTGGATTCATGACACTTGAAAGAATATCATATGTTTTTTTTGGAAGTATTGAAAGAATATCATGTTAAATATTACTAATTTGTATAAGTGTTATATATAATTTTGAAGCACTCTAAAAATTTTAAGTGTGAATTCATGACGCTTAAAAGAATATCAAGTTAAATATTGTTTTAAGGAATTCTAGATTTTTCATCTTAATATTGTTATCAAATATGTTAGATATTGTTTTAGAGTATTCTAAAACCTTAGAGCAGTATGGTTCTGTCTCATCCCTGTAAATAATAGTTAGCAATCCTCTAGCCATGTAGCTTTTCGAAATTCAATTTGATTTCCATATATATATATAATGCTTCACATTTGGTTTGGAATGTTTTAGATACTTTGGTTGATATGGAAGGATTATAGGGTTTTCAAAAGACTAAAACAACACTTTCCATTTCTCATTCATGTTAGTTGAATTAAGTTAATATCTGATTCTAATTCATCATCATCTCTGTTGTTTCAATTCTTTACACATATCTGAGTGGCTCAGTTTAGTTTGATATAAAATATCTAAAAATATTTTCTATATAAACCTTTTTTAAGTAATTTTTTTTAATTTTATTTTTTGATGCGTCATTAAAAATTTTTATTTATCTTTCTTTATTAAGTTTTAATAAAATATTTTACTTAATTTTTTTAAAAAAAAACATTGCGGGAAACTTATGTCGACCAAAATAGCTATTTAATGTACATTTATATACACTGTTAATAGTGAAAATATAGACGCTAACAACACTTAAAGCTCAAACGGTAAATTGCACGAAGAACTCTCGCAATGTTATCGCGAACTATGCACTTCTTGCTTTGAAAAAAAGAATGATCTACGGACCTAATAATTA